GATATATCGATATCCAGACAATCTCTTGGGTCAAAATGTCCATTCAATAGGTCGAAGGGTCTACATCTTGTAAAGCTATGGATGGAGCTGTTATAAGCAATAAGTGCGTAGGGCATGAGGTTTACGACTGGTTCTTCTTTATGCTGAAGTTTTAGAAGTCTGAGGTGTTCAAGGAGGGTTGAGTGAAATCTTTCTATATTTCCATTATCATTGGGAGAGTGAGGTAATATTCTATGATGATTGATTTTATGTAATCTTGTGAATTCCAGAAATAGTTGGTTTGTGAACTCCGTTCCATTGTCAGTAATGATGGTTACAGGTACACCATGGTGGGTGCAGAATTGTAATAGGGACTGGAGTATGCTAAGAGCTGTACCATCACGTAGATGGTAGGCTTGACCATACTTTGTGAAGACGTCTATGAAGGTTACGTACTTCTCACTTTGAACGGTAAATAGGTCCATATGGACTATCTCGAAAGGCTTCGTGGCAGGAGGCACGATGTTAAACTGAGGTCTGATGGGATTCCTATCATATTTACCTTGGCCACAGATGGTACATTCATTTATGAACTTAGTTATTTGGTCTTTCATTTTAGGCCAATAATACTTTCGGGATAGAGCCAGGTAGCATTCGTTAATACCGCGATGGTTGGTTTTACCATCGTGATAATGGCGAATAATCTCCTGTTGACGGAGATACTCTTTAACGTTCTCTATTTCAGTCTTAGTTAAGATGAGGTTCATTGATGAACTTTTGAACAAATACGTTTACTGCAGCCGGAGGATCGAAAAAAAACCAATTAATTTAAAATATATTTAATTAAAAGAAATAAAAAATTACATGAAATTACTTTCTAAGAGATGAAACCTAATCGAAGTCGGATTATGGAATGACAAATTAAATTAAACAATATTGAAAGGAAATAGATTTGCGTCACAGCGCCAAATTGCAATATCGACACTTAGGTATTTTCATACAGAGCGCGCGGCTGCAACCTCAGCAATCTTCTAAGGGTACGGCTACGTAATTGCTTCGGCGCAGTGCCGATCACTGACGTTTGTCAACAAAATGGTGCTTGACTCTTGAGACAGGCTAAAACACCATATTGTTAACGACACAGAAGTTTTACTTCGCGAAGGTATTTAAAAAAATATTATTTTTTTAAATACCTTCGCGAAGTAAAACTTCTGTACGTAGTACTTATTATTATTCTGTGGTGTTATTGGAATATTAAAAAGGTTTTATAAATGTCATTTTAATGAATACGTATTTAAAAAAAATACTACTTGTCATAGTCGAAAAACAATCGATATGAATCGATTCTTACCGATAAGATTCATTTTGGCAACACTGAATTGAGTGTTAAAGACAGGAAGTTGTAATTATCACATAAAGTACTATTTATATTGGATTTATATAAAGGCAAATTGATACAAAGTTACACTAAGTGAATACTTTAAAAATTAATTAAAAATTTTTGGCAAATTCATATTTTCATTAGCAGCTTGTCCACGCCAGGCCAGAAATGAACATTGTCCTTTTGTCAGTGTGTGCGTGCGCACCACATACGTGTTGGCGCGCTCACATACAAACCGCGCCAGTGCGTTTCTATGAAGATGACCTACTCATTTGTATTTACTCTGATTGTGGTGAACCAACTCCTAACACAAGCATATTATATTGAGTTTACTACTAGGGGTTACGGGACTATAAGATCTAACGTCAGAATAGAGGGACGCGCGGAGATGACTTCGCGCGCTTTTGTGCTAAGTGATGAATTGTATCTAAAATAAGGCAATATACTGTGAAAGTTGAGTATCCAGTGTTTTTATAATTTATTTCTTCGAGAATAAATTTTATAATAACACATTAACTTAAAATGACTTAAAAACTAAAATTTAAAAATTGCTAATATAAAAACTATTTACAAAATAAAAAATACTTCACCCCCAGCGCCGCAGTCAGGAATGGTGCCCAAAAGGCTTACAGCATTGCCACGTTGAATGGACAGGCTAATTCTCTGACCAAAATAGCTGCCAGCCTTTTGATCACCGGTCACCTCGGTCGGTGAGCCTCTTTGCCAGTTCTTTATAAAAGGAACGAGCGCTTGGACCCCATGGTCCCATAGTCTCAACCCCAAACGGCACAAATATATAACTCTCATTGAGAGCTGCATATTTATAATAAGTTTGATTTATAATTTTGCATGCCAAAAGGTGGAAGATGGAGATACTAAAATACTTGTAATACCTACATTTACCCATGTTCGCAAAATAAATATATTTAATTTGATTTGATTTGATTTGATTTGCGCCGCTTGGAGCACTCAGCCGAGGCCGCCGCCGCGCCTGCGGCAAGGGAGGTATAGCCTGACCAGGAACATAAAAACCCTCGCCATGTTGCGGAAAATTAATGGTACTAATTTCTTTTAATGGCAACAGTAACTGAAAACTTCATTGACATGTCACCTTACAAGTCTATTGTTGTCAAAGTGTAAACAAAACAAACTTTATTTTAAATGTGCGCAATTGATTTTGTGAATTAAATTGCTAAAATATTTTTATAGTCGTGAAAGAAAAGTGGTTTACAATGTGTTAAAGTATTTGTCGAAGAGAAATACTAAGGGTTCGGACAATATTTTCATTGAATAATGTTTCCGACAAAGGTTGTCAAATTGACTGACATGTTTATCGTATAGTACAGTCAACTATGAAAATTAGCTGTGGTTTGTTTCAACTACCTATTTTAAAGTTTTTTGTCACTTTGTAAGTGTTGAATTTTATGGAATTGGGAAAGAAGTACCGAGTTTGAAGCGTTCATGAGCAGACATTGTAGTTGAATATTCAAGTTTAGAATTTGATTATTGATGAATAATAATAAAATCCTACTTGCTCGATCGATGGTTTCATTTAATTTATTTAAACCAGTTTACCTGTTTTATAATATTTTATGAAAATATTAAATTAGCCCATAATCCTGAATCCTGATACATAAAGTTAGCCTATTAATTTAATACAGGTACGACTGTACCCAGTGTTGCACTATCAAATGCAATTGACGCGCCTCTATGCCAGGGTTTTTATGTTCCTGGTCAGGCTATACCTCCTGTATGAGACGGAGCAAGCGTATCCGCGCATGTTGCGTCCCACACAAGAGGACGTCCCTGCTTCCAGGGAATGAGCGTCATGCCGTCAGGTCTCTTGCCGTCGTCACGGAATATGCCGTTAGGCTCTAAAACTGCTGGCACATTGATGGCGACAAGAGCTCTGCGGATGACGTCATTGATGCAGGCGTGTCGGGAGACTCGACCAGCGCTCATTTGGCATGAGAGGCCATGGTGTCCTAACTCACCGACGCGAGTACCGCAACGACAGCGATGGGGATGGTTTGTCTTGACGCCAAGTCTAAGGGAAATGGCAAGGGACAGTGTACTCCTGTCAAGCAGAGTCCCGATATTGGCCGAAGGAAGAGCGTGTAGCCAATAACCGGACTCTGCCTGAAAGACCGCTAGTAGGCGAGCACGCTCTGCAGCATTTTCGGAGGAAGCCAATAGATCACTCTGAAAACGCAAACAGAGCGGCTCGTCCCACTGCCCAGTGTTTTATTTATGAGAATAGATCGACCGGCCTTTAATACTGTGTACTCACGGCTCGTGCTCGTTGTGTAGTCTCGCGTGCAGCGTTTCGGCGCCGTGTGGCGCGGGCGGCGCGCGTCGTGCGGGCGAGCACGCCGGGCACTCCGCTTCCGACTCCGAGTACGATTGGAAGCAGCTGCGGACGAGAACGTGTTAATGTTACTCTTAAACTTTCGGGTTGCATGATTTTTATTTGGTGATAATCGAAAAAAAATCCTAATGCTAAAAACCATTTATCGCCTTCGCAGTGTCAGTCACTTTACAACCAGCAGATTGTAAGTGCAATTGTACCAGAAGCAGATTTAATGCCTGCCACCTATGGTACGTTTCAAAGTGTCAACCAAAGAACGTCTATAGCTGGCCAAAGGCTTCCCTCAAGGATTTCCCAAGGATCAGTTCTACACTGCCTTCACTAGGTCGTCGGTCCACCAAGCTCACACTGCGTTTTGCGGCCCGTGATCGCCACTCGAGAAGTTTTCTGCTTAACAACCGGCTACCAGTTCTAAGAGCTATGGGTACCAATGAGACTTTATATAGTTTTATTTGTTAATAAACAATCTAAAACTATATTTATTTCAGTCAAATGACGTCCACTGCTGGACATAGGTCTCCCTAAGGATTTCGACAAGAACCTGATAGTATGTAAAATTAGATCCCAAGCTGAAATGTGTATAACTCACTGCTGATGGAAGGAATGCTGGCACAAGAAGTGCACAGAAGGAAGTTCAAGCGGTCGGTTGCAGGCGGCGCAGCGCGAGCTTTGGAACGTAACTGGCTCGTTCTGTATCTGAACCTTACTTCTCGGCTTGTTCTTGCTCGCGGGATATGACGTCACTCTCGTATGTAGCTTGCAAAAATTATACTGTACCATCATCATCTTTTCAGCCACAGGACCACTGCTGAACATAAGCCTCCCCTAATGACTTCCACATCGCACGGTTGGTAGCGGCTTGCATCCAGCGCCTTCCTGCTACCTTTATCAGGTCGTCGGTCCACCTTATGGGTGGACGTCCCACGCAGCGTTTTCCGGTACGTGGCGGAGGCCATTGCTATAGGAGTGGAGACTCCAGAACTTTGCTGCCCCATCGGCCGTCAGTTCTGCGTACAATGTGCCCTGCCCATTGCCACTTCAGCTTGCTAATCTGTCGGGCTATGTCAGTGACTTTAGTTCATTTACGGATCTCCTCAATTCTGATTTGATCTCGTAAAGAAACACCGAGCATAGCCCTTTCCACACCATGCTGTGCAACTTTGAGCTTCTTTATGAAGCCTATAGTGTACCATAGTTAATACATATTTAACTTACTGCTGATGGAAGGAATGCTGACACAAGAAGTGCACAGAAGGCAGTTCAAGCGGTCGGTTGCAGGCGGCGCAGCGCGAGCTTTGGAACGTAACTGGCTCGTTCTGTATCTTCTGTATTTGAGCCTTACTTAGCTAGTTCTTGCTATGACGTCACTCTCATATGTAACTTGAAAAATAGCTAATGTTTAACTCACTGCTGATGGAAGGAATGCTGACACAAGAAGTGCACAGAAGGCAGTTCAAGCGGTCGGTTGCAGGCGGCGCAGCGCGAGCTTTGGAACGTAACCGGCTCGTTCTGTATCTTCTGTATTTGAGCCTTCATCTTCTCGCTCTCGCTGCGGTACTTCTCGGCCAGTTCTTGCTCGCGGGATATGACGTCACTCTCGTTTTTGAGGACGTTCATTAAATACCTTGAACAAATCATTTTCTGTTATCACTGGTAGGCACAGACAACGATTAATAATAGTTATTTTTCAACAAAAAGGTATAACCAGATGTGCTGACTGTAAAATTTAGAAACGGATAGACGACGGATAAATAAAGAATTCGAATTAGAATAAATGATACTCACTTTCGAACATCTCCTAGGGTGTACGTGGGTGTACTCGCTAGGCAATCGATGACTAGAATAGGCGACAACAATTTCTCACTATCTGTAAAAGAAAGGTAATTTTAGTAAAATGTATGATTGATGATGATGAAGTTAACCTTAACTAGCTACACTATTATTGATTAAATTGTAAATTTGAATGGCTGAGACCTTCCTAGATCGGTTGCAAACTTTTTAAAACAGTTGTGAAATTCCCAGACCGCATGTTGTGACCTTCTTAGAACGCAAGTGACTTTCCTAGAACGGTCACATCCTTCCTACAACAGATACCTCCTTCCTAAAACAGTTGTGTCTTTGCTACAACGGTCACATCCTTTCCAAAACGGTTGCGTAAGGACGCCTAGGAAGCCCTAAAAAGGTTCTGTGTTTCCTAAAACGCTTCCTAGAGCGACTGCGTACTTCCTTAAAGGGTTCCGCCCTTTCTAGCATTCGCAATTTACCAATAACGTCGAGCCAGAGCCACGGACACATGCATTTGCACTCTTAAGGTGTCAATGCAAAGTGTAAGGTCCAGCAACGCTTGCGTCCTTCCTAGAACGTTTGCGGCCTTCCTATAACACTCGTCACTTACCAATAACCCTTAGCAGCTCAGGCAAACAGGCGGCGGGCGGCGGCCACCACAGTACGTCGAGCCAAAGCCGAGGGCACACGGCGCCGCGTCGTCGACACACCGCGAGCGCCCCTTACGCGTCGCCGGAACATTTGCACTCTTAAGGCGCCCTATGTTCCTAGGGTTCCTAGCACAGTCGCAACTTACCAATGACTCTTAACAGCTCGGGCAAACAAGCGGCGGGCGGCGGCCACCACAGTACGTCGAGTCACAACCGAGGGCACACGGCGACACACCGCGAGTGCCCCTTCCGCGTCGCCGGAACATTTGCACTCTTAAGGCACCCTATGTTCCTAGAGATCTTCCTAGCTCGGTTGCGTCCTTCCTAGAACGGTTCAGTCGTTTCTAGCATTCGCAACTTACCAATGACTCTTAACAGCTCGGGCAAACAAGCGGCGGGCGGCGGCCACCACAGTACGTCGAGCCAAAGCCGAGGGCACACGGCGCCGCGTCGTCGACACACCGCAAGCGCCCCTTCCGCGTCGCCGGAACGCATATGCAAAGACACCTGCGCCCGCCATCTACACATAAATGCCAATAACTCGTCATCATTTCAGCCAAAGGACGTCCACTGCTGAACATAGGCCTCCCCCAATGATTTCCCATACTAACTTGACAAAAAACTATAAGATCGTTTTGCCTCCTTCCAAAAGTTGTTGTGCCCTAACTGGGTCCACATTGTATAACTGCTTAAATGGTAAGACTTATTGATATGAATCCCTTAAAGTTATGCACTAGACCTGTAATAGCTCAATACTCAAAACTTTATTACTTCATCACATTAGCGCATTGACGTAAGGTCTTACAATGTAAGCAGTTGGACCCAGTTAGGGCACTGACTCAGTAGTCAGTGCCTGAGGCATGGGGTGGCACGGGAGGGTGTTTTTGTGACGTCAAACGACAGCGAGACTGATGTGATTCATACTTGTTTGCTCGTTTGGACTGTGACGTCATATGTCACCCCTCCCTTGCCGCTCCCTTTCCATAACATTTCATTAAGTAAAAAAAAAAACATTCTAGATGCCTATAACTATAGCAGGCTTAAAATGAAGAAAAGTTGCGACTTCTTTACAATTTTCATCATATTATTGGCCTACAAAATCTTACTAAACCTAAATTGACATTGTGCTGTGTACTATCCTTAAATAAAATCTGCACTAATATTATAAAGAGGAAAACTTTGTTTGTTTGGTTGTAATGAATAGGCTTAAAAACTACTGGACCGTTTTTAAAAATTCTTTTACCATTCGAAAGCTACATTATCCACGAGTAACACAGGCTAAATTTTATTTTGGTAAAAAATATAATATAAAAAAATAATAATATAATGTAGTCCACGCGGGCAAAGCCACGGGCGGAAAGCTAGTAATAGCTTTCCGCCCGTTTAATAATAATTTTAATAAAATTAATAATTTAATAAATATAAAAAAAAAATAATAATAATTTTAACCTTTCGAAGTAACTCGTGAACAGGTGTTAACAACCCACTCAGACAATAAAACGTAGGTAGGCTAACCGACGAAAAATAAGTATAAGAATAATAAAAAAATTACTACTGTATAAAAACTTAGCCTAAACACGTACAAGTTTAGTTTCAATAAAATTAAGGTTAGCGTGCGAAAGTAATTAATGATACCTAAACTAAGCAATATTTATTGCCTGTATCTTAGGTATCTGTCTAAAAATTGCTGACTATACAATATTAGAATAAGATTATCAAACAAAAGTATCAGAATAACATAAAATACGCTTTATTTATTAGTTATCGGCGAGTCCTGAATCGCCCTGTTATGTTCTTGCCTTACCTACTGACCTTCGGGAGAATACAAATACGATCGTGAAGCTTGTTTGTACCACGTGTACAATTAACTGTGCAATGCAAACAGAAAGTTGATTGTATGATAATAATCTGTTTGAAATAATTTCACTTGTACAAGTTTCAACACGCGAACTTCCGCTACACGCACTCCAGTGATATTTAGTCATTTCTAGGTCAGTAAAGGTCATTCACATACAGAAATCTATTTACAAAGAAAATGACTCATTCACAAAAATATTTGATTGTTCGCAAATTGGACGAATACCAATACCGCCTCTCTATTCTTGTATAGTCTATCTGTTAAGATTTCACTGTAACATTTCATTAATTTATTCGAATTACAAAATTCATTATGTAGGAAAATTGACTAGTTTTAAACATTAAATATTCACATTTACAATACATTATAAAGTCGATCTAGTTTGTTTTTAAAATGTTTTCCTTACTGATTACCAGGCCATTTATGTGGCCTATTTATATAAGAAAATAATGTCCAAATGAGTTACGTTTGAGGAAATAATTAGGCAAAATTTATTAGTTAAAATAAATTACATGTAAAATATTTTTAACGATAAGCTTATTTGATTTCGATTTATGTTGAAACTACTATAGAAATAAACTAAATTGAAGTACTAAGGACTCTGCATAGATACATTTTAATGTCCGCGTCTCCAATACTTATTAAATTAACTAATGTTTTTATAAGCTAGCCATTTGTGCGTGTTTGCGAACTTCAAAGGGATCTATTTCGGTGACCTGTTGCGTGCGAGACTGCCTGCTGCCTGCGAGTCCCGGCCTCCCCTCGGCAGGTTGTTTACGCCCGCCGCGCCCTATTGCGTCAGACACTATCGACTGGGACTTGGCGCCTCGCTGGCGGGACGCGTCTGGAGTTACTCCAGTTAGTCCTTACACAAACTCCGCGTGGAGCACGCGTGTGAAATGTATTTAATACTTTTGTTGCTGCTTTTTACGACCGCCGACGCTAGGAAATCCGGTGGGGGCAGGACGCATTCTGGCGGATACGGTGGGGGCCACGGCTACGGCGGGGGCCACGGCTACGGCGGGGGTCACAATTATGGCGGGGGCCACACTTATCCTGCGTCCACAGGATTATCTGGCGCCGGTACCGGAACCCACCAGACGGGCTCGCATCAGACCGGGTCCCACTCCTACCCTGCCTCAACTGGCCTCTCCGGAAACAATAACATCCCGAAGCAGACATCCAACCAGCATAATGTACACAATACGCACAAAACTGAAGTACACCACCACCATCATTACAGCCCCCCTCAGCAAATTGGATACGGGGCACAGAGCTATCCCGTCTACCATTCGCCACCGCCCGTCTACGTGTACCAGTACAGAGATTCAGGGAGCCGGTTCGACAATCTACTGACGGGACTAGCACTCTACAACTTGGGAAGGATGTCGAGCCGCCACAGCCATTACGACGCGAACACGCAATACGTGGGGAGTCACGGAGAAGTTTGCAAGTTGGGGATAAGAAGAAGGAACGGGGACTACGAAGAGACGCGCATCGATTGCAAGCTCATGACGAGTTTTATATGGGAAAGCGATTCGAGGTCCAATCACGTCACTGACCAGACTCAACAAAAGACCGTGGTAAGTTCGGAAGTGAAGGTGACGCAGACGAACACTACTGCTGGGAATATGTCTGTAACGACCACCACGACGAATACTACGCTAGTGGATGCTGTAGACGTGAAAGGGAAGTCGATGGACGTAACGCCGGACATGACGTGCTATCTCATTCGCATATCGAGGGACACCTCGATGTTGAAGAAAGAAGTGACTTGCGGTTTGTTGCAGACGTACGCGACGAACTCGTTTCGGAATAGTGCCGTGAAAGTATATCCAGTTCTATCGTTGTTTGTCTTTCAAATGTTTCTTATCCAGGTTATTTAAATTAAATTATTAAGGACTATTTTTGTTCACTTAATTAAATATTATAGCGAGGTAAAATATTCGTCGATTGTAAGGAAAAAGTTGTTTAAAAACTTTAAACTCACTCACTGTTTACTACGCAATTGATTTTATAAATAGCGATATGCTTTCTTGGGAAATCCTCTTTTTTGCTGTGAGTCACGTCATATCGTCTGAGGAAATTTCTAATATGTTGAATGGACAATGTTCGTTCTCCATACATTGTTCGCCGTTAGATCAACAGTGCCGAAATAATACTTTCTAGGTTCTAAATGACACAAATATTTATGTAAGAACAATTATTCCTGGCGGACCAATTCTATAAACTTATTGATAGCAATATTGTTATCATAACCTCTTACTTACTAGTATTGTATTATATTATTTTATGCACATCGATTTGGGAGATGTTCTGTATTTTAGTTGTCGCAGCCAAATTGTATTATAATATTGGACGGGTTTTGGAAATAGCTCGGCGTTCCACTTTTATGATTTACTTACTTACATTTTGCACGTAAATAAATAACATGAATCCTATGTTTACTTTCCACTCTTGACATTTAACACGTGACTTACCAAACTAACTATCTCCATTTAAGCGGCATTGGATTTTTCATCGAATTTTGAAACTGTAACAGATATATTAAAGATGATCCCATATTGTTGTCATTGTCTATATCAGTGTTATGATCACAATTCTTTTTATTTTATTCATGACCTTCGACCAGTTGGACACATTAGATAGCTTCTTGTAGTATCGTGCAATATATTTTTAACTTTTAATTAAAATCTAGTCATACTGTAGCAATTTGGACGATTTATTTTATTTACAAGATTTATTTATTATTGTCTATGATGACCGCAGTCAACATCACTATTACATGGATTCCTAACAATCAAGTACGGCATTGCCTTGTGCCGATTTTACATAGATTTTATCGACACAAATTATGGAACTTCATAGGATATGGAGCAGGCCACGCCCTAAAATGTCCGGATGTCGTCATAGTATTATGGAATACATATAAAATACTTTTATTATTTCATTTTTTAATCCTCAAGTGTCCGTTACAATCTAATTAATATTTAAGTATTCAAAAAGTAAGAGATTAATTTTGATACTTTACTGCTGTGCCCAGGAATCTGAGGCGGTTTCTGACAATGTCCTTTGCAGTGGGAACAGAAACTGATTTTTTTAAAGTAAACAAATAAGATGGTAAAACATTATTTTTCTTTTTTCGAGTTTCAATATTGCTTCTCTCTTACACATTATACGTTTATACGACAAAAAAGAACTGGAATTTCCCGAGACGTCCAATTACTTTTTAAATAGTATTAGAAAATTTAGTTCAACGAGTATTAGAAAAACAAATAGTCCAGCTATCCTCGAATTTTGCCCTAAGCTGTTACATTTTGTGTTTTTTTTTATTACATTTTTAAAAAATTAATACTAGGTGTTTATTGATAAGTAATAATAATAAATAAATATCTTTGGACCTTTTTACACAGCGCTATGAATGTAGCCCCAAAGTAAGCAATTAATATGCTTGTGTAATGCGTGCTAGCTTAACGGATATACTACATTATACTTTTTAAATACATACATATTATACATAGTAACACCCAGACCCGTCACAGAAATTAAAATTCATCATTTCAATTTATAAGTACTAGCATTTGCCCGCGGCTTCACCCGCGTGAAATTTAGTTTGTCACAGATCGTCATAAATTACGTCTTATATCCGTTCAGTAGTTTTTGCGTGAAAGAGTAACAAACATCCAGACATCCAAACTTTCGCATTCATAATATTAGTAGGATTGAATAAATAAATGTAGGTATAACACGTGAATTTATTGTTACATCAACCAACACGTGAAAGTTAAATGTAGCATAGCAATGTAGAAACAAATTGAGCGTTGATAGTTTTGTTTTGCGCCACCAATAAAAACGAATATATTAATTGGCTCAAGTGGACGGCAAGATAATTTTTGGCTCTCATATCATTGTCCTTAATTGTTGAGAGTACGAAAAATTACATCATGTTCGCACTAAATTTTAATAAAATGTTGAGAAATTACAGCCGTCCTCGTATTTCTTTTGATTGTTAAATAAACGTTTGATATTAAAATTGATTGGTATTTTCAGTCACCTTTTTAAATGTTATAATTGGGTTAAAGAATGAAAAAGCCGCTGCAGCGCGCTGGTGATTGCCAAAATCTACACTGCAACTAAGGGAGAGGGGATATCATTTATCATAATCAATCATTTGAATGAGTAATCCTCGTGTTATGAGTATTTTCGTAAAAACAAATTACTAAATTCTTAAAAAATACAACTTGAAATATCATTTTAATTTATGTATACTGGCTAATGTACACAGATCTAAGCCAAAATTGAAAAGAATCAAGTAATATTTTTCAACTAATTTATCATCATTTCAGCCATAGGATGTCCACTGCTTATCATAGGCCTCCCCCAATGATTTCCATAATGGCCGGTTGGTAGCGGCCTGCTCTTATCATCTGCATTTATGAAGTCGTCGGTCCACCACGTTACTAATGTCATTTTGGGTAAAATGTTATTCATTAGTTATTTAATTTTTTTAAGCGTTAAGAGTTATGATAAATAACTTGAAAAATTGGGTTCATCCAGTGTCTAAGTAGCTCAGATGGAAGAGCAGTCGCCCGGCAAGCGAAAGGTCGTGGGTTCGATTACCCCCTTACGGTCGGTTCACACATGTCTCCGTTTTTATACTGTTCCGTTTTATCGGGTACGTTTTTTTTTCGTCGATGGCGTATGTAGGTAGTTGTATAAGCGACTTCACACCATGACACTGTATACAAAATACGGCCGTTAGGCAGTAAGATTTTTTAAAGTTATTTATAAATGCCATTTGGCTATGAAACTGACCAAAGCCATAATAAAATTAAGAAGAATACTCACAGCTTGCTCTCCTCGTACAGATAGAGTATGCCGGCCTTGAAGTTGAGCATCTGGCAGATGACGAGCGTCTGATCCTTGTCGTAGTTCGCTTCGGGGTCCTTGAGCACCTTCATCACCTTCGCTTCGTATTGCAACTTCTCGGTCGCTTCGGATTTTGCCCTGGTTAAATAATATTGGCGTTAGATTCTGATATAGTTTAATGCACGAATAGAACAGATAAACATTTATTTGGAAAAAAACAGAAAAATAGCACAATTAACAAATTAAATGTCATATTATTCTAAAAATATTTGTATGTAAAGCCCGGTCTGTGAGCACGTAGAATTTTGTCCAACTGTGCGACGGGCGCCCGCAGTGAGTGTGCGAGCGCGACAGCAACATAATTACGAGCGAGCGATAAGGATGGGTAGCTTGGGGTCATTGGACAAATTCTACGTGCTCGCAGACCAGACTATAGTCGTCAAGAAGGGCTTGCTCGGGTTTACTATTATAGTGCGGCTTTGCAGAGATGTCTCTTGGATTAGGCAAAGCCTTAACGGTTTGTAATAATTGGTTTGTAATACAAACTGGGTGTAATTCAATTAGGATGCAGTTGCATGTTTCAAAATTTCTATGAGCCGCTCGGAGTCGTTGACATTTTAGAAAAGTTCCTGACAATTGAATTACTTACCAAACATGTATGTAATGTTCAATCAACGCGTTGTATACAAGTTTAGAGCACTCAAACTGAGCCGCGGATTAATTGGGACGCCGTTGTGTATTCAGAAATTGGAGCCTCTAGGACTTGTTGACATTTTAGAAAAGTTGCTGACATCTTAGACACTTACCAGACATGTATGTAATGCTCTATGAGCGCGTTATACACCAGCTTAGAACATTCAAACTGCGCCGCGGTCATGTGCTCGAGGAACTCTATGAGCCGCTCGGAGTTGCTGAGGAACATGTGTATGTAGTCGTCGGGGAGGGCGCTCTTTTGGACTAGCTAGAGCCTTGTCTCATCGTCTAGCTAGAGATTTACTATGTGGCTTATTATAGGACTAACTTGGAGTAATTTAATTGGGACGAAGTGGCGAGTTCAAAAACTGGACTCTCGAAGTTGCTGACATTTTTGGAAAGATGCTGACAGTTTAGAAAGTTGCTGACATCTTAGACACTTACCACACATGTATGTAATGTTCTATGAGGGCGTTGTAGACTAACTTCGAGCACTCGAACTGAGCTGCGGTCATGTGCTCGAGGAACTCTATGAGCCGCTCGGAGTTGCTGAGGAACATGTGTATGTAGTCGTCGGGCAGCGCGCGCTCGGCCGGGCGAGTGCGGCCCTGGAGGGAGCTCTATTGAACTAGCTAGAGTCTTGCTAGGCTACGCGGCTTGTATTACCAACTTGGAGTAATCTAATAGATATGAAGTGTTTTGTTTCAGAAACTATGAGCATTTCGTAGTCGCTGAAGTATAAGACAGCTGCTGACACGCCTAAAAGTTGCTGAAATGTTAGACATTTACCAGACATTGGGGCGAGTGAATGTGGCACTGGAGGTGCTCTCTTGGACTAGGTAGCTTTGCTAGGCTACGCGGCTTGTTGTGCTAACTGGGAGTAATCTAATTGGAACGCAGTTGTTACTTTAGAAACTGGAGTCTCTCAGAGTCGCTGACATATAAGACAACTGCTGACACGCCAAAAAGTTGCTGACATCTTAGACACTTACCAGACATGTATGTAATGTTCTATCAGCGCGTTATACACCAGCTTAGAGCACTCAAACTGAGCTGCGGTCATGTGCTCGAGGAACTCTATGAGCCGCTCGGAGTTGCTGAGGAACATGTGTATGTAGTCGTCGGGCAGCGCGCGCTCGGCCGAGCGAGTGCGGCCCTGGAGGGAGCTCTATTGAACTAGCTAGAGCCGTGCTAGGCTACGGGGCTTGTAGTATTTAAGAGTAATCTAATTGGGACGCAGTTGTGTTTTAAAAACTGGAGTCTCTCGGAGTTGCTGACATATAAGACAGCTGCTGACACGCTAAAAAGTTGCTGACACCTGAAAAAGTTGCTGACATCTTAGACACTTACCACACATGTATGTAATGTTCTATCAGCGCGTTATACACTAGCTTAGAACATTCAAACTGCGCCGCGGTCATGTGCTCGAAGAACTCTATGAGCCGCTCGGAGTTGCTGAGGAACATGTGTATGTAGTCGTCGGGGAGGGCGCTCTTTTGGACTAGCTAGAGCCTTGTCTCATCGTCTAGCTAGAGATTTACTATGTGGCTTATTATAGGACTAACTTGGAGTAATTTAATTGGGACGAAGTGGCGAGTTCAAAAACTGGACTCTCGAAGTTGCTGACATTTTTGGAAAGATGCTGACAGTTTAGAAAGTTGCTGACATCTTAGACACTTACCACACATGTATGTAATGTTCTATGAGGGCGTTGTAGACTAACTTCGAGCACTCGAACTGAGCTGCGGTCATGTGCTCGAGGAACTCTATGAGCCGCTCGGAGTTGCTGAGGAACATGTGTATGTAGTCGTCGGGCAGCGCGCGCTCGGCCGGGCGAGTGCGGCCCTGGAGGGAGCTCTATTGAACTAGCTAGAGTCTTGCTAGGCTACGCGGCCTGTAGTACCAACTTGGAGTAATCTAATAGATACGAAGTGTTTTGTTTCAAGAACTATGAGCATTTCGTAGTCGCTGAAGTATAAGACAGCTGCTGACACGCCTAAAAGTTGCTGAAATGTTAGACATTTACCAGACATTGGGGCGAGTGAATGTGGCACTGGAGGTGCTCTCTTGGACTAGGTAGCTTTGCTAGGCTACGCGGCTTGTTGTGCTAACTGGGAGTAATCTAATTGGAACGCAGTTGTTACTTTAGAAACTGGAGTCTCTCAGAGTCGCTGACATATAAGACAACTGCTGACACGCCAAAAAGTTGCTGACATCTTAGACACTTACCAGACATGTATGTAATGTTCTATCAGCGCGTTATACACCAGCTTAGAGCACTCAAACTGAGCTGCGGTCATGTGCTCGAGGAACTCTATGAGCCGCTCGGAGTTGCTGAGGAACATGTGTATGTAGTCGTCGGGCAGCGCGCGCTCGGCCGGGCGAGTGCGGCCCTGGAGGGAGCTCTATTGAACTAGCTAGAGCCTTGCTAGGCTACGCGGCCTGTAGTACCAACTTGGAGTAATCTAATAGAGACGAAGAGTTTTGTTTCAGAAACTATGAGCATTTCGTAGTCGCTGAAGTATAAGACAGCTGCTGACACGCCAAAAAGTTGCTGACATTTTAGACACTTACCAGACATGGGGGCGAGTGAGTGCGGCCCTGGAGGAAGCTCTATTGAACTAGCTAGAGCGTTGCTAGACTACGAGGCTTGTAGTACTAACTTGGAGTAATCTATTAGATACGAAGTGTTTTGTTTCAAGAACTATGAGCATTTCGTAGTCGCTGACGTATAAGACAGCTGCTGACACGCCTAAAAGTTGCTGAAATGTTAGACACTTACCAGACATGGGGCGAGTGAGTGCAGCCCTGGAGGGAGCTCTCTTAAGACTAGCTTGAGCTTGCTAGGCTAGCTTCTTGTATTACCAACTTGGAGTAATCTAATTGGGACGCAGTTATGTTTCAGAATCTATGGAGCCTTTCGGAGTTGCTGACATGTAAGACAGCTGCTGCTGACATGTCAAAAAGTTGCTGACACCTGAAAAAGTTGCTGACACTTACCACACATGAATGTAATGTTCTATGAGCGCGTTGTAGACTAGCTTCGAGCACTCGAACTGAACCGCGGTCATGTGCTCGAGGAACTCTATGAGCCGCTCGGAGTTGCTGAGGAACATGTGTATGTAGTCGTCGGGCAGCGCGCGCTCGGCCGAGCGAGTCCGGCCCTGGAGGGAGCTCTATTGAACTAGCTAGAGTCTTGCTAGGCTACGCGGCCTGTAGTACCAACTTGGAGTAATCTATTAGATACGAAGTGTTTTGTTTCAAGAACTATGAGCATTTCGTAGTCGCTGACGTATAAGACAGCTGCTGACACGCCAAAAAGTTGCTGACATTTTAGACACTTACCAGACATGGGGCGAGTGAGTGCGGCCCTGGAGAAAGCTCTCTTGGACTAGCTAGAGTCTTGCTAGGCTACGCGGCCTGTAGTACCAACTTGGAGCGATCTAATTTGGACGCAGTTATGTTTCAGAATCTATGGAGCCTTTCGGAATTGCTGACATGTAAGATAGCTGCTGCTGACATGTCAAAAAGTTGCTGACACCTGAAAAAGTTGCTGACACTTACCACACATGAATGTAATGTTCTATGAGGGCGTTGTAGACGAACTTCGAGCACTCGAACTGAGCCGCGGTCATATGCTCGAGGAACTCTATGAGCCGCTCGGAGTTGCTGAGGAACATGTGTATGTAGTCGTCGGGGAGGGCGCTCTTTTGGACTAGCTAGAGCTTTGTCTCATCGTCTAGCTAGAGATTTACTATGTGGCTTATTATAGGACTAACTTGGAGTAATTTAATTGGGACGAAGTGGTGAGTTCAAAAACTGGAGACTCTCGAAGTTGCTGACATTTTTGGAAATTGGCTGACAGTTTAGAAAGTTGCTGACATCTTAGACACTTACCACACATGTATGTAATGTTCTATGAGCGCGTTGTAGACTAATTTCGAGCACTCGAACTGCGCCGCGGTCATGTGCTCGAGCAACTCTATGAGCCGCTCGGAGTTGCTGAGGAACATGTGTATGTAGTCGGCCCTGGAGGGAGCTCTATTGATCTAGCTAGAGCTTTGCTAGGCTATGCTGCTTGTATTACCAACTTGGAGTAATCTAATTGGGACGCAGTAGTGTATTCAGAAACTGGAGTTTGTGACCTATAAGACAGTTTCTGCTGACATGTTAAAAAGTTGCTGACATCTTAGACACTTACCACACATGTATGTAATGTTCTATCAGCGCGTTATACACTAGCTTCGAGCACTCGAATTGAGCCGCAGTCATGTGCTCGAGGAACTCTATGAGCCGCTCGGAGTTGCTGAGGAACATGTGTATGTAGTCGTCGGGCAGCGCGCGCTCTGCCGAGCGAGTTCGGCCCTGGAGGGAGCTCTATTGAACTAGCTAGAGCCGTGCTAGGCTACGGGGCTTGTAGTATTTAAGAGTAATCTAATTGGGACGCAGTTGTGTTTTAAAAACTGGAGTCTCTCGGAGTTGCTGACATATAAGACAGCTGCTGACACGCTAAAAAGTTGCTGACACCTGAAAAAGTTGCTGACATCTTAGACACTTACCACACATGTATGTAATGTTCTATCAGCGCGTTATACACTAGCTTAGAACATTCAAACTGCGCCGCGGTCATGTGCTCGAAGAACTCTATGAGCCGCTCGGAGTTGCTGAGGAACATGTGTATGTAGTCGTCGGGGAGCGCGCGCTCGGCCGGGCGAGTGCGGCCCTGGAGGGAGTTCTATTGAACTAACTAGAGTCTTGTTAGGCTACGCGGCCTATAGTACCAACTTGGAGTAATCTAATAGATATGAAGTGTTTTGTTTCAGAAACTATGAGCATTTCGTAGTCGCTGAAGTATAAGACAGCTGCTGACACGCCTAAAAGTTGCTGAAATGTTAGACATTTACCAGACATTGGGGCGAGTGAATGTGGCACTGGAGGTGCTCTCTTGGACTAGGTAGCTTTGCTAGGCTACGCGGCTTGTTATGCTAACTGGGAGTAATCTAATTGGAACGCAGTTGGTACTTTAGAAACTGGAGTCTTTCGGAGTAGCTGACCTATAAGATAGCAGCTGCTGACAGGTTAAAAAGTTGCTGACATTTTCGACACTTACCAGACATGGGGCGAGTGAGTGCAGCCCTGGAGGGAACTCTCTTGGACCAGCCAGAGCTTGCTAGGCTATGCTGCTTGTAGTGGTAACTTGAGAGTAATTTAATGAGGGTTTTCGCGAATGAAAGATCCGCTAGATGGCGGGACGTGGATGTGGGGTCCGACTGCTGCGTGATTGGTGGATTTTGACATATCTGTCAATGTCATGTCAAAAATAACCAATCATGCAGCATTTGGACCTCGCGTCTACGTATTACCATCTGGCGGATTTTTCATTCGCGAAAACCCTCATTGAGACGCACTTGTGTTTCAGAAACTGGAGTCTTTCGGAGTTGCTGACGTATAGGATAGTTGCTGACCGTTTAGAAAGTTACTGACGGTTACGATACTTACCAAACATGTATGTAATGTTCTATGAGCGCGTTGTAGACTAATTTCGAGCACTCGAATTGAGCCGCGGTCATGTGCTCGAGGAACTCTATGAGCCGCTCGGAGTTGCTGAGGAACATGTGTATGTAGTCGTCGGGCAGCGCGCGCTCGGCCGAGCGAGTGCGGCCCTGGAGGGAGCTCTATTGAAGTAGCTAGAGTCTTGCTAGGCTACGCGGCTTGTAATACTAACTTGGAGTAATGTAATAGATACGAAGTGTTTTGTTTCAAGAACTATGAGCATTTCGTAGTCGCTGAAGTATAAGACAGCTGCTGACACGCCAAAAAGTTGCTGACATTTTAGACACTTACCAGACATGGGGGCGAGTGAGTGCGGCCCTGGAGGGAGCTCTCTTGGACTAGGTAGCTTTGCTAGGCTACGCGGCTTGTTGTGCTAACTGGGAGTAATCTAATTGGGACGCAGTTATGTTTCAGAATCTATGGAGCCTTTCGGAATTGCTGACATGTAAGATAGCAGCTGCTGACATGTCAAAAAGTTGCTGACACCTGAAAAAGTTGCTGACACTTACCACACATGAATGTAATGTTCTATGAGCGCGTTGTAGACTAATTTCGAGCACTCAAATTGAGCCGCGGTCATATGCTCGAGGAACTCTATGAGCCGCTCGGAGTTGCTGAGGAACATGTGTATGTAGTCGTCGGGCAGCGCGCGCTCGGCCGGGCGAGTGCGGCCCTGGAGGGTGCTTTCGTCGACTAGAGGCTTGTTACGCGGCCTGTAGTCTGTGCAGAGCGCTGGGGAGAGAAATTTGGGTTTTAAAGTGCATTTAAATAAGGGTTATTTTCGAATAAAATGAAGTGTTCGTTGATTTTTAGGGAATTTATAAGTGCTTGTCGACTAGAGGCTTGTTACGCGGCCTGTAGTCTGTGCAGAGTGCTGGGGAGAAAGGAATTTGGATGTTAAAGTGCATTGAAATTAGAGCTATTTTCGAATTAAAGGAAGTGTTTGTTGACTTGGGGCTTGTTATGCGGCCTGTAGTCTGTGCAGAGCGCTGCGGAAAAGGAATTTGGGTTTTAAAGTGCATTTAAATAAGAGTTATTTTAAAATAGATTTGTATTCGTCGACTTATAGTCTGTGCAGAACGCTGAGGAGAAAGAAATTTAGATTTTAAAGTGCATTGAAATTAGAGCTATTTTCGAATAAAAGGAAGTGTTTGTTGACTTGGGGCTTATTTTGTTATGCGGCCTGTAGTCTGTACAGAGCGCTGAAGAGAGAAGAATTTGGGTTTTAAAGTGCATTTAAATTAGAGCTATTTTCAACTAAAAAGAAGTGTTTGTTAAGTTGGGGCTTGTTATGCGGCCTGTAGTCTGTGCAGAGCGCTGGGGAGAAAGGAATTTGGGGTTTAAAGTGCATTTAAATAAGGGTTATTTTGGAATAATTTCTATTCTACGCGGCCTAAGCTGCAGTTAGTGCAGACCGTTGTAGAGATGGTGCGTCCACACTGGGCGAATATGCTCGCACGGCAAACTCCACATCCTGCTCACCCTGCTCTTGAGTGAGCAAGATGTCGAGTTTGCCGCGCGAGCATATTCGCCAAGTGTGGACGCACCAAGAGACATTTGGGTGTAAAATGCACATTTTGAGTCACTAAAGACTTTGTAGACTGATACTTGTATCGGGCTGTTAATCAGTATGGACATGTACGATAGTGCGCCTATCGGTATCGGCCGATTCTTCACGCAAATTAGAATCGGATTCGGACCAACTATTGGTCGACTAAAAGTCTGCAGTCTTACGGTACGTTCCGTTACAGGACTGAGTGTAGAATGGAGCACTGAGGAGTGCTCGCAGTGGTGTATCGAACAAATCTTAGTTTTGTGCGCTACTTCTTAGCATTGGCTCACGTTATTGTCCCGAATCACAGATAGGGTTATTGCAAAAATTATCTTAAGAAAAAAAAATCTTGTGTTTTGTAATTCATTTCTATAACGTACTTCACAAAGTTCTTGACAAACTTTTAGTCATAGAGTATATGTATATGTTACGGTTAATGTGATAAATTGAAAATTATTAATAATAACCGGTTATTATGAATAATTACCGACAGTCGCGGTAAAAGTGATAAATTAATCACATTTAACAGTGATTATTTAATAATTCAACCTTAGTACTAACAAATTTCATAAAAGAGAACAACATCTTGTGTACGTGCTCGTGTACAGCCAAACTTTTGAACACAGATATAGATATACATAGATAACGCAAGTAACACGATCTGTATTAAAACCAAGCGTGCCGACTTTTTAATACCTACTGTGACGTCACAGCCAACATTTAGTGACGGGAAATCGTAATCGATTCAAAGATGCCGATGCCGCCGTTGCCCCACCGCGGCACCGCACCGCTACGATCACAGAAATGGCATCGATTATCTGACAGACGAATGAGATACACAGACGAATGAGATATACAGACGAATGAGATATACAGACGAATGATATTAAACGGAATGTTTAAATAGATAATATTTTCATTGAATTTTAAATAAAAATGTATAATTCCAAAACAGATTGCTTATTATACATCGATGCTGCGCGGGCATTTTTCGAGCCGCCAGTGTTGTCACACATAATTAATTTAAAAAAAACAATTAAATAACTACAGGTAATTTTAGACACGGTCCCGTATTAATAAAAACTTAAAATATGTTATATTTACTTTAAATAGTGAATAAAATACATTTTAACTTTTTATCAAAATATCAATATCTCGACAACGGTGCCTCGTAGATATTTTGTATTGCTCTTATAACATATCCAGCAATATTATGTGATTATTTGGTCACAAAATTCTGTTCTTTGTGGCAATGTTTTATAAATATCATCAAAATCACGTACACTACTTGTATTCATTTCTCTACAATCTACATCATCATCAGCAGATCATTATTTCTTATATGTATGTACACACATTATTATATACTTTTACATGAAAATACATATACAGGGTGTTAGGTAAATGGGTATATGAGCCGACACTAGCCCATGTTAACATGGGCATATAAATGGTATGGTGAAGTCAGAAATTTGATATTTTCATTTTAATTATTTTATTTTTCATACAAATCGGATTTTATAAAATTTATTTTGTATGAAAATTTAAAAAATAAAATGATGATATCAAATTTCTGACTTCACCATACCATTTNTCAGAAATTTGATATTTTCATTTTAATTATTTTATTTTTCATACAAATCGGATTTTATAAAATTTATTTTGTATGAAAATTTAAAAAATAAAATGATGATATCAAATTTCTGACTTCACCATACCATTTATATGCCCATGTTAACATGGGCTAGTGTCGGCTCATATACCCATTTACCTAACACCCTGTATATATATATATATACATAGCTATACTATACCTTTTCTAATTTTCTCTTCCTTGACAACAATATAGGTTGTTGTGGTGTTTTTTTAATCCATTATCATCATCATTTTTTTTTAAATCGAATTCTAAGATGAATTTTTTATCGTGGTTTGTACTTTTGTTAAACTTTGGCGGCTCGTAACTAGCTATTCAATCATTATTTGGATCTAAATTTTATTTTATTTGACTAAAGACATATTCGATACTAGCGGCCGCCCGCGACTTCGTACGCGTGGATCCCGTTTTACCCCCTTCATCTATCTTACGCGGTTTAGATTTTTTCATACAAATGTTTTATCCCGCTAACTCCCGTTCCCGTTGGAATTTCGCAATATCCTGTTGCAACTAAGCTTTAAGTTTACTAAGGGACCTGCATGCCAAATTTCAAGCGTCTAACTTAAGCAGCTTAGATTTTTCATACAAAAGGATTTTTCCGGTAATTCCTGTTCTTGTGGGAATTTCGGGAATTCCTTTCTTAGTGCACCTCTACGGTACCTAAGCTACGTCCCTTATCAATTTCAAGTGCCTACGTTTAGCCGTTTAGGCTGTGCGTGGGTATGTCAGTGAGTCAGTCATACAAAAGGAATTTCCCGCTAATTCCAGTTCCCGTGGGAATTTTGCAATATCCTGTTGTATTTAAGCTTTAAGTTTACTCAGGTGCCTGCATGCCAAATTTGAAGCGTCCATTTTTTTTAATATTGCATCTTGTGGGAAACTAGGAAAAAAAAGACATTTATATACTACAAATACACATTAATTAGAATATTTATTAAATAGTATCATTCGTCTGTCCGATACCAATAAGAATCGATTATTGATTAAAGTAGTAGAACGAACAACACTAGTAGCAAAATTTGACAGACGAATGAGAAGTTGCGTGTACAACGAAGTCGAAGCGATGCGCGACAGTGGCGCCTGTCCGTCGATACATCGCCTCTTAACACATAACGTCAGATCAAACGCTCAAAATAAACCCGGCAATGTATCGTAAAAAATTTTTTGAATGGTAAGTTATAGGTTTTTAGGTACAGTCTTGAAACCAACGCTAGGAATACTTAAAAAAATGTTTTAAAATGAATTAACACTTAATATAATATTAAAATAACTTGCCCGTGATAGGAAATATGTCCTTGCCTTTGGGAGCTCGAAGTTTTTGGCTTATTGCAATTAATTATCACACATTGAGGCATTTTTCTAGTTTTCGCGGCCGTCCGCATGCAACAACAGACGCGCGAGGACTGTAAGCAGCGGCAGCTCATTCCGATGATTTATCGGGATCGGGACACGCGAAGTAGGTGCATTCGCGTTATCTAGGTATATCTATATCTGTGCTTTTGAACGTTTTGATATCATATATTAATATAATTTGGCATAATGAGTTTGGAACGTTTCTTGCATAATATTACTTTTCCATGATGCCTATAACATAATGTTTTGATTTAAAGTGAAAAATAGGTTAAGGTGCGGCGGGGGTGGCCCTCGGGCCACCCCTAAGCCGCCTATTTAGTTTTATACACACTTAGATGACCTCATATTAATCACATTTACCAAATCATGCGGTAATTATTCATAATAAATGGCGATTATTCATAATTTTCACATTTATCACTTTGACCGTAACATATAGACAGATTTGCTTCGAGAGAACCATTTTGAATTTTATACAGACACAAATAAAGTTCAAAATTCATTGTACATTTCTTTTCGAAGCTTAATATATGTACTTTACAGACGCATAGATAAAACACTCACATTTCAAGAACTTAGTGCTCTCCTCCGGCTCATGCTGTATCAACAAATGCCCGTGCCTCCTCATATACAAGTCCGCGTCGTCAAACTCCAAGTCGTGCATGTAGTCCAACGCGCGTTTGTAGTCCTTCTTGTCTTCTAGAACCATCTTGAGGTACCAGTCGTGGCGTTTGTGTACCGCTGCTAAGGATAACGCGTCGTCTACGCTTACTTGACGGACTACCTGCAGATGAAAATAAAATGAATGACGTTGTCTCGCTTGTTTATTGTAGTGTGAGAGTGAGAGGTTCTGAATTTAAGTTAGGTATGTCGATGTTAGATCTTGAATGAGTACATGTAATTTTAATTCAATGTGATCAGGAGGGCTACTCCAAAACGCCGTTTACGTAGTTTCGGTTTTCTCTGTCACCGTCGCTCATGCCAGCATCTCACTTTGCGTGAGAGGGATGGCAATATTCGAAACTTCGGATAACGTTTTTCGGAGTAGCCTCGCTGAATTCTAAAGTTAAGATTTATTATGAGATCTTTTGGGTCAATATTTTTGTATTTTCGTGCTTAACGGGTATGAAATTATAATGGGTATGAAATTATGAAGACTCGGAGCTGATGGAAACTAAGAGCATCTGCATTAGAATTGCCTTTGTCAAAAAAATCATAGAAAAGGAAATATCAAAAACTATTTCTAAACTTAAAACTAAGGATGCCGTGTTATGACTAGTTTACATCAATGAAAAAGATATTAGAGTTGTTTGAATTACATCCTTCAAAGTTAAGGTTAAAGACAAAGTACCTTTATAGCGACGTCCACATCAAAATCAATCGCCTTGTCCTTCGAATTGATGAACTCCTTCAGCTTCCCTTGCTGATCGTGCTGGTCTATTTTCACATAACAGGTCAGCAACAATGTAGTATGGTCTTCAGTGGCGTAGCCTTTCTTGTGGAGTTCCTCAAGGTATAGAACTAAGGGTTCTAAGTGCCGGGATTCTAAATACTTGCGGATGACGTAGGAGGTTTCGAGCCAACCGATCGTTTTGACGTACTGGTCGATCGCGCCTTTTAGGTCGCCCTGTGAGAAAAAGGGATAGTTAACATTGTGAAGGATATTTTTGAGGTTAAGAAGAGAAATAGCATAATGCCCAATGATGGCTAGTAGCGCCCAGATTGGAAATTGGGTTCAATATTCTGGATTAAAAAAAAGGAATACCAATAACGCTATTGACTTTAATTTCACCTTTTGTCGCTTATTTCCATGTTCAGCACTTTCAATACAATTTTGCTTTGTATTCTTTTTGTATTTCTATGTCTATTTAGTGCTGTCATTAATGATAGATTGTTGCCTTAAAGCAACAAGTGAAAGAAACAAGTAAAAGAGATTCAAAAATAAGGTAGTAGTAGCCACTTCGATATCTCATATTGAATGTTCGTATGAGATATCAAAGATGTCAGTATAATATAGTTTAGTTTCATTTTAATATCAAATTGGATTTATCAAAGTTTATAAAAAAATTTCTTCTCAAATAGTGATCTTGTTGCTAAAGAATATAGGTACCTTACTATACAAATGGTCTCCATACTGCTTGTATATCTCAGTCAGTCCCTCCACATCGTAATGCTGACTGCTCGCTATCCTTATCGCCACGTCGTAGAGGTTCTTTTTGAATAGCAGCGACAGCTTCGATTGTAGGTCCTTTTCGTCCAAGTATATCAGCTCTTTATTCTTCGTGAGAAGGTAAAAGGATCCCCATTCGGTGATGACCACGTCGATAGCTTCAAATGTTTTGGAGAAGACGATGAATTTGTTCTGGATGTCTAAGATAGTTATGTGGTGGGATTTAGGGGCGGGTGCAGTGCTGGTGGATGCAGCGGTTTTAGGAGCTGGTTCGTTGGTGGTGATGACCAGGTATGATCGGAACCAGTTGAGCCGCACTTTTTCGCCTTCAAGAGCGTAGCACGGCCCGCGGCCTTCGGTCGTGTAGCAGTATATGGCCTGAAATCATAAGTGTGTTAATGTTTTAATATGTGCCGGGGAAAAGTACAAAATGTGCCCTGGATCGTATAATTTGGCCCAGAATTCCGGGCTCAGTATAACATGTGCCACACAACGTCACGCAGCGCTCAGAGTTTATCCAGTACAGCATCAGACGCGCGCGCCATAGTGCCCGTAGTATAATATCATGTGCGTGAGTGTAATGTAATATGTGCTTGGAGGTATAGTCTGGTCTGCGAGCACGTAGAATTTTGTCCAATGACCCCAAGCAACCGCAGTGAGTGTGCGAGTGTCGCGCTCGCACACTCACTGCGGGCGCCCGTCGCACAGTCGCGACAGCAATATAATTACGCGCGAGCGATAAGGATGGGTAGCTTGGGGTCATTGGACAAAATTCTACGTGCTCACAGACCGGGCTTTAGTGTAATATGAACGCCGCGATAGTATTTTGTGCCCGGGAGTAGTGGAACATGTGCTCAGGGGTAGTAGAATATGTGTACTCACATCGTCAATAGCTACGGTGAGGCGGTGCTTGTCGGCAAGCACGCAGCAGCCTGGTGCCGCGCCTTTGGCGTCCAGAGTTACGCAGCGCTCAGAGTTCAACCAGTAAAGCATGATGCATGCGCGGGATACCACGAACAACTTGTCTGCTCCCCTGAAGGAATAGACCAGACAAATATTATTATTTTCTCAAAATAATTTGTTCGTTAGTTTCAGCCAAATGACGTCCACTGCTGGAAAAAGGCCAGCCCTTTTCAGGCTTTTTTCAAAATGAAATTTCGTTTGTCACAGATTGTCGATCATGGGTGTTAGGTAACAAATCGGATTTTATAAAATGTATTTTGTATGAAAATTTAAAAAAATAAAATGATATCAAATTTCTGACGTCACCATACCATTTATATGCCCATGTGGGATAGTGCCGGCTCATATACCTACCCATTTACCTTACACCCTGTATATGTTATTCTGGGTTATAAATAATAATACTGTAAAGTTTCATCAAAATCCATTCAATAGTTTTTGCGTGAAAGCGTAACAAACATCCAGACATCCAAACTTTCGCATTTATAATATTAGTAGGAAGTAGGATTAAAGGTATGATTTCTGGTGAGAATCATACTTAGCGTCTACTCTACGACAACGCGTACGCGTCTATGTACGCTTGGTGGCTTCTTGTAAGTAACATACAAACAAAATTTTGTTTCGTATGTAAGTTGCAAGCAGGCGCACACTAGTCTTAGGACTGTAATTAATTGGGATTTGTGAACTGATTCCAAAAATGTACAAATTGATTAACTTGTTAAGATTAATGTTTTTCGTAATTATTATTAGCATGTGGATGTTTAATGATAATAATGGACATGGCGCACAATTTTTGTTGAAGATGCCAAAAAATACTACAAAAAATTAGAATGAATACTGTATTTTTACTTTTTTGATATCTTTAAAAATGACTGAAATATTCAAGCTCAAAGTGCGCTCTTCCGCTAGGAGCGATTTTCCGCGCGGATTTTGAAAATGTGACGTAGTAACATGAAAAGCTGCATGTAAGATATTATCTGTGTACGATGGTTAGAATGGTTAGTAGGGGAGCCGAAGCGGGGATTTCGGGACTTACTAAAGAGTGGCAGACTAACATACAAGGAAATACTTTGTACCTGGTTGATTATTGGTTATTTTTCCAGAAAATTTATATTTAAGTGCATAAATGTAAAAATGGCTTCATAGTGCACAAAATTGGCAATAGGTGGCATAATAATGTTTACTTTTTTAGCGCCTAGTTTGAAATGTGATTGAACGATGACAACTAACAACAGTTGTCAGTTAGGTAAAATTTTATTTTAGTTGGAAAAAGACAAAAAGTGGTAAATGGGTTAATGTGCGGGGGCTGCAAAATCATGTTGTGACGTCACGCGCGAATATTGGAAATTTTTGAAAATTTTAGAATGTCCGTAAACTTCTCGAGGCTCTATCTTCGGTAATACTGGATGGATTGAGGTGAAATAAAATTTAGTGTAATGTGTGTGATCTAAACTTTAAATTAAGTCATAATTTAACTTAATATTACAACTTATGCGTGTTGTCCATTGATGTAATTAATAATAAAATACTCACTTGAAAGCTAGTCCAGTAATGGGACTGGTGCCGGAGTCTGGTAACGTCTTCATTTTCCCGCTGCGTTGCCGCGCGATGTCGCCGCGGAATAGCGACACCGAACCATCTTGGAATCCAACGGCAAGCAGGTTCTGTAATACATAGAAGTGTAATGTAATCTTTTATTACTTACCTACTACACATATTTTGTTTAATAATGTAACAAATTGATGATATGATAAAAAAAGATTTAAAACATTTTTTTTGTTGCTTGAGGTTGGTTGAAAGCAAAAAAATCTCTGGAATCACCTAGTCTGGTGAAGCTGAAAACGCTGCTTATGGCTACCATAAGTTCACCTAACCCACATGTTCACAAGTGATTCTGTAATTTAAAAAAAGCTAGCTAAGAGATTTTTTTCACAAAATGTGCTAGATTTCTCAAGAATATGCCAAATTTTCAGGTTGTCAGTCCACCTTGTGGGTGGACGACGCACGCTGCATTTTCCGGTACGTGGCCTCCACTCCAGAACCTTGCTGCCCTATCGGCCGACCGAAGGTGGACCGACGACCTGATAAAGATAGCAGGAAGGTGCTGGATGCAGGCCGCTACCAACCGTGCGATGTGGAAGTCATTGGGGGATGCCTATGTTCTGCAGTGGACGTGCTGTGGCTAAAATGCTGATGATGATGCCAAATTTTTGACGTTATCTCAAAAATACCAAAGACAGCTTCAAAAACTATTTTGTTATCGACTTAAAGCTATCATCACCTTATTGTCATGCACTTGCAAGGCAGTGGCCGGTGTGGGCCTCATATGCGAGGGTACCGCTCGCGATACTCGAACGCATGTGGGGTTCCCGTGCCGGTCGCTGCGGGACCAGTCCCACACTTTGATTAGGGGGTTCACACCGGACTCGTCATCCTGGAAAGATAAACAGTAATAAATCTCTTATGAGCTTATAAAAAAATGTAGCTATAGTTAATAATGATTTGTACATTATGTTCAGTCATGCATTATAATCTGAGTAACCAATTCCACGAGCACTAGGTATATGAGAAAGTAAGTAAAATTTTTAAATGTACAAGATGACCACAAAAATTATTTAATTTGTTTATTGGAATTTGAATTATAGTAATAATATCCTTGGACATATAAATAAATATAAATAAATAAATATAAATATCCTTGGACATTTTACACTGCGCTTCTAGTCCCAAACTAAGCAAAGCTTGTACTATGGGTACTAGCAGGCCTGTTCATCTCCGCGAGTTTACATCGAAAACAAAACACGCACGATGGCCCACCTACAGGATACTATTCGACAAGGCCTCACATACGAGCGAACATTGACTCACGCACGCGTATTCTTGTGTATGATGGAAGAAAATAAAGAAAATGGTGTACTAAATACTGTGCAGTATTTAACTGCCTAAATAATAATAAAAACACAGAATGTACTTTTTTAAGTTGCCTCAAGACACTGAGAGCGAAATAAGTAGTTAATATTATTCATGATAATTCATGCTAAATCATGTATTTCCTCCGCCATTTTCCGCAGTTTGGCACCTCACGTCACATCATTTTACCGAAGTCAGCCCTATAGCTTCGGCGCAGTGCCGATCACTGACGTTTGTCAACAAAATGGTGCTTGACTCTTGAGACAGGCTAAATTACACCATATTGTTATTGACATTGAGCATACATTTTTTTAAATACCTTCGCGAAGTAAAACTTCTGTACATAGTACTTATTATTATTCTGTGGTACTAGCCATAACATAGGATATCCATAACATCATCTAGTCACACCTTATGCAGTTGTAATAGAAGTGATTTTGCAATGAAAAATAATAGACTAAAAGAAAAATAAATATAAATATGTGGATCTGAATCCACTTATATTACACAAATATACATCATTATTATAGTCGACTATACAAACACATGATTTATGTATGGTTTTACTCACACCAATAGTCACCAAGTACGGGTCATGAGGCAGCTGCTGAGCAAGGCTGACGGTGAGCTCGTAGGCCTTGAACGAAGTCACCTCCCAAGACCTGGTGATGAGGTGTGCCCAGCCCGTCACATCGCACAGAATTACGTGACCATTGCCACTCGTGGAGACTGTTACGTGAGTGTCCTAGGAATATGTAATATTTTAAAGGTTAATTATAATCAAATTTGATAAACTGATGCCCGTTTTCACCATCTATCCCTAATTTTTAAGTGACCCCTATGATAACAAATAACAGGAATTTTGTTTACATAGGGGTGATTTAAAAATTAGGGATTGATGGTGAAAACGGGCATGATTCATTTTAATCTCTGGTTAAAAGCACAAATTACAATAAAACATACCTGAAGACATTCTGCAATCTTGCCGTTGTCTACATTCTTGTGAGTATCAAAGAAAGTGAATCGACGCCACTGCAAACAAAAAAACGAATATAAAACTGATCCTACTAAATGACTAATATGATCAATACCATTATAAGTACCCAATTATCTACGCTAGAAGTCTTTTGTGATAATAATGAGCTGTACATTATATTAGCTAACAAATGTTATGCCTAATTATTAACAAACGAATGCCACTCCAAACAAATCGTAGGGCGTAAATTTAAGTAAAAGGCAAATAGTATTTAGTAATCCGAATGTTATAGCACGAATAACACATTAAACCAATCATACCTCTAAAAAAGCCATGGCGTATCTCGAAACTAATTCATTAAAATAATCAACTTTAACATTTTGTTCGTGAAAAACGATTAAATTTTATCAGTTTCTTAATTATTTTCCTCCTTTTGTTGCACAAAATACACTGCTGCTGAATGTATGTGTCCAGTGTCACTGTCATTACAGTCAGAGAGTCAGATGAAACAACTGTCAATGTCACAATCAATAGAGATGCTCCTACGTATCAATTGAAAAGGAAAACGATTAATTAATCGGAGGTTTCTCATATGCATCATATGCATGTAGAGGAGCAGCTCTATTATACACTCGCGAGCAAAAGTATGGAATCACTTACATGAAGTTGTTTCCACGCGATCTTGTGTACTAACGAATTTGTTAGGAATAAAAAAAGTGGCACCATTTTAAAGATTAAACTTTTATCTTTAAATTGATACCAAATTCGTTTAAATCACACCAGTATTTAAAAAGATATCCCGGCTAATGTGAAGAAGTAACGAAAAAGACATGTATGAACTGTTTGATACGTCGCGAGTTGCGGCCTATTTATCCCCTATAAAAGCACGCGTTTTCGGATTTTTGCTTTCACACGTTGATTCATATACATCTCCGCTTCTTTTGACTCTTTACCTGGGATTCTACACCTTCAGAAGCAGCACAAATCGTTGCACTATTGCAAGAAGGGCTCAGCCAGCGGGCTGTCGCACGTCAGCGCCACATAAGCCAGTCCTGGGTTTCGAAAGTTTTAAGACGCTTTCGGGAGACTGGTGGCTTTATCCCGAGACCAAGTTCTGAACAGCGCCGGCGCACATCGTAGAGGGAAGACCGTTTTTTCATGTCAACCTCTCTATGAAATCGTCATTTGACTGGAATCGACGTCCAGTAAGAGCTCAGAAATGTTCGTAGGATAGCTGTTAGCGAGTAGACAGTTTGTCTAAGACATAAGCAATAGAATTTAACTCCAAAAAGGCCTGCCACAGGCTCGAAACTGACGGCAGGTCACCGATAAGCACGCTTTCAATTTGCTCGTACACATCTCGATGTTAAGTCGAGCAAGCCACCCCCATAAGCCACTGTTTCAGCGAACCAGCACTGCACAAATCGCTCCTCAGGCCGCCTATAAACCCGACCTCTTCGACTGCTGCCCTGCAAACACAGTTTGCATTCATCGGAGAACAGAACTCGCCTCCATTACTCGCCTTCCCATCGAGATGTGTACGAGCAAATTGAAAGGGTGCTTATCGGTGACCTGCCGTCAGTTTCGAGCCTGTGGCAGGCCTTTTTGGAGTCAAATTCTATTGCTTATATCTTAGACGAACTGTCCACTCGCTAACAGCTATCTTACGAACATTTCTGAGCTCTTGATGGACATCGATTCCAGTCAAATGACGATTTCATAGAGAGGTTGACATGAAAAAACGGTCTTCCCTCTGCGATGTGCACCGGCGCTGTTCAGAACTTGGTCTCGGGATAAAGCCACTAGTCTCCAGAAAGCGTCTTGAAACTTTTGAAACCCAGGACTGGCTTATGTGGCGCTGACGTGCGACAGCCCGCTGGCTGAGCCCTTCTTGCAATAGTGCAACGATTTGTGCTGCTTCTGAAGGTGTAGAATCCCAGGTAAAGTGTCAAAAGAAGCGGAGGTGTGTATGAATCATCGTGTGAAAGCAAAAATCTAAAAACGCGTGCTTTTATAAGGGTTAAATAGGCCGCAACTCGCGACGTATCAAACAGTTCATACATGTCTTTTTCGTTACTTCTTCACATCAGCCGGGATATCTTTTTAAATACTGGTGTGATTTAAATGAATTTGGTATCAATTTAAAGATAAAAGTTTAATCTTTAAAATGGTGCCACTTTTTTTGTTACTAACAAATTCGTTAGTACACAAATTCGCGTGGAAACAACTTCATGTAAGTGATTCCATAGTTTTGCTCGCGAGTGTATTATACAGGCTGTTATTTTTTTAAATAAAGAACGTCGTTATCATAATTATCTTTCTGTTGATAATGTTGATCTGCATGAAGAAAATGAAAATGATGTTGATGTGGTCCTCTTGTTTTATCATTATTTATAATTTTTTTATCATCCCTATAGTGAAAATTTGAAACAAATCTACCTCTAATATTTCGGGAGTGGTATATAGAGCAGAAGGATCCCTAATATTCCGACCAGTGAAATTGAATAACTGTAAGGATTTAAGGAATAAGGGTTATTACAATACATCTACTTTAAAATCGAGAAAAAAGTATACTCAAACCATTCTTTGCGTAACTTTATTGCCAGTAAATTTTGATATTACATAATTTTTAAGTCTTATTCACTGTTACTGCACCAGTGGTAACTTGGTTTAGTAACCGGTTCCAAATACTGGTGGAGTTAACTGGAAGTTTGTCAATATCTACATCGATCAACGTGTATAGGGGCTTCAGATCGATGATGTTTAAAATATATGAAAGCGTGGAAAGTCCATCGATGAGATTCAAAGGTGCCGAGGTCTGCATTGCTTGGTGATATCTGGGAAATACAAAATATTCCAGATAATTATTTAAAAAAAACCTAAAGTGAAGAAATGCTGTAATTATAAGTACTAACACTTGAGAAAGTTAAAGATACTTTGAATGAAATTAATGTTTTAAATTTGATAATACATAATCAATCGCTTACCTCGTTTCATAGAGTTCATCGCTATTTTCCACCCGTTCATATTTTCCAAAAGAAGCGCTTTTTACAGTCGTAAAATTAGCATGTTGTAATCTGTAATCATCAATGTTTGTTTTTTTACTGAAACATATATTTTTTAAAGACACATTAAATAAATGAAATGATTTGTCAATACATTTGGGTATCTCGTAATGCAGCTTTATCGTTTTTTCGATACGATACTCGTACGACGACGAGTACGATGCTCATACGATTTTATACTTTTTTGATCTGTGGTCTTGTACTAGCGGGAAAAATATACGCGCCCCATTTTATTACAAATTGAAAAAGTTTGTAGCTATGAATAAAATGTATTGCTCGAGTTTGTGCACGTTGTGCAGTTTTTATTTATGTAAGTACCTAAACCTACAGCTTCAACTGCTCTTCCGCGTCAATTGTTTTGGGCTTTTAATAACCAACTTAAAATACTTAATATCGCTAAATAGTCTGTCACATTACACTATCAACACGAAAAACGCTAACCTTTTCTGTAAATCTTCGAAGATGGCATCATTGCGAATGTTGTATTCATTTGAAAATCCATTAACTTTCAAAAACTGCTCAGGTTTTACGGCGATAGCTCCTCCGAATTCATATTCGTACGTCCTGCAAGTGGCAAGCGTGAACTGTATTGTCGTTTATCATAATTAAGTTATTTATTCCTTATTTTATGAAGATGAATACAGAATAAACCACTGCAAAAGTTTGTTTGTTTGCTAAACAGCTTGATAAGTTTTAGAAAAAGAACAATCGCCGGGTCAACAAGCTGCAATAAATTGGATGCTAGTGGCCAGGGACAAAAGTCGGTGAAAGGTTGAAGAGGAGGCCTATGTTCGAAGACGAACCCCAAAGGCTACTTAAAATAGATAGATAAATTACACTTTCTTCACCTATTCCCAACATGCGTGACCAGCTGTAGCGGGTGGTCGGAGCACCGATAGAGGTTGCGCGAGTCAGCAGGCAGGATGTTGTGGTCATGGAACACAACACAGTTCCACTCGCTCTTCTTTAGCCCTTGCGCTTCTGAGAAGCCCACGTTGAATAGCTTGCCATGATTCAGGGGCGATGACTGGTTGCCTATTTTAAATTAATTAATTAGGTGGTTGATCTTATCGTAAGTTCTATATGAGCAAAGGTTACATGCTAGTTAAATCAGTCGGTATCTTGCTTATTGACCGTGAAGTGTTTCATTTTACATGATAATTTTTTCGTGGGATTGATACTTACTTTGCCTAACAACGAATATCTGGTATCCTAATTGTTGTTTCATCAGAAAACAATGAAGTGAGTACAAAAATTCAAGCAATTGGTTTTGCTCTCTGTAACAAATAAAATTAAAGAACTAAAGAGATGTTGAGACTGTAACCGTAACATTGTAATCGGGACCTTTTCTGCAAAGAACTGCTGATCGTTCATCTTTATAAAAACCTAATTGTATTTATCAATAATCTTTAATTAAGATGTTAAAAATTCAAATTGGTAGGTAACCTGTGGGTGACAATAACGGCGACATTTTGACGAGGAACGCATTCATTTTCTTCGTAGAGACCACCGGGTTGCAAAACGTCGTACAGTTTTTCTATTTCTTGGGGGCTGACGAATTGATTGGCTTTCAGAGGACCTAAATGATACAAAATACTAAGTAGTTTGTAGTTTAAAAACAAAAATTTCCCAGGTATCTCTCATCTCAACTTCGTAATCACACACAACGTAGCCTAGATGCCTAATATTTACTTACCTAAGCCTAGGGGTGTCTCAGGGCATAGAAATTCTCCTTTTTTAATCCCATTGTAATAAAATACGGAGTCGGAACCCTGGTCACGGTAGTCCTCTTCGCTGCTTGCTGATACCTTATTATTTGTTGGATTGGTAGAGCTCTTGTTATCGCATAGCAGAAAGTTGGACCATTTTGGGATGCGAGTCATTCGACGCTTAGTCATAAACCTAGAAAATCAAAAAGCGATAAATGACTAGCCCAAAAGATAAGGAGACATGTAAAGTGCCCCCTTAGGGGCTACCTTTTTTGTTTGTGCCAAAATATTGGTCTAACTTAACTGAATAAAATATTTTTGTGTAGTAAAGTAATAGATAAACAGGGTGTTTAGGTACACGTTTAATGTAGGCACTCGATTTTAGAGGCAGTTATTTTTTTACCTTACGAACTTCGTATGTTCAGAAACTTGAACTTCTACCCTCATCGCCTGCCGCGACTGCGGATTGTAGAGGCAGTAGAACAAATAGTTCGTTACGTTCAAGAGGGCGGCCGCGAGGATAAACATTACAAGCATTTTCATCGTTTGGGGCGTCATATTCGCTAAATAAACATAACAATTTAATGAAAGCAAAGTATGAAAGGACTTTTCTCCTTCAATAAAATTGTCACTAAAAAGTGACATTAGGTAACAAAAAATAGTCCCGCAAAAAGACGCAGTGTATTTGATAGGATCTTACTTTTTGGTGGAAATCAGCGAGTAGAGTAATTAAAATAAAACCTATTCTAAAAACAAAGACAATAAAAAATACACATTTTGATACAAATCGTGACATTTGATACCACAAAATATAGAACAAAATGACATTTTGGTATCAATGCGTGTGTATGTTCATTTAATATTTTTTCCAAAATTTCTTTTGTAAGATGCCGAAATACTACAGGTTTAGGGCGACGACGCCTACTCGAAAAATAAAAAGATGCAGAGAAAAGGAGAAAGAGAAGGGAGGAGAGAAGTAAGTAAATTTTTGTTTTGACTCGTTCTTTCCTAAATCATTGTATTTTTATTGGCCTCCTTTGCACGATAATACCTAATTTTTTTGGCCCTAACCCTTTAGCCAAATAGGTATTTTTTACTTCCTTCCTTTACTTTAGTAGTTCACAAGTGACAAACTTTGAAAGCGCCACGAAATATTATGCATTAATGATGCGGATTGCTAATATACAGTGCTTTATTTATTATACTTTTTTGTTATCAGGGTCAAGTTCGTAGCAGAAAGGAGTTGGCTTGACGTGACCCTAGCATGCACACCGGCGCCATCTTGGTACTTACGACGCACGTCCTGGCGCGAAAGCCCGCCACTAATGGGCCTGCCGCGGGAGCTCGCAGCAGGTCTTAGGGCCTCAGTCCATTTAAGCAATCGTCCTATTTTCGTCTTCAAAATTCCACCCACAGCCCTCTCTCAGGAGGGCATACGTCCCATGTGAAACGTGCATTCAAATGTCAAAATTTTCCCGCGTTTTTCCGTTTTTGGTTGAAGGATTTTTTTTATATTTTTCAGTGATTTGTTCATTAGTTATTCCGTCAACCACAGATTTTCCTATCGTGATGGGTATTACAAAATTTATACGGAATACCTCTTTTATTTTATTTCAAATGGCTACCTATTTCATTAGTTTAAACATTTTTTTTAATGAAAATCCCGCAATGGAATAAAACAGCATGAATTATTTTAAAAACAAACAATATATTTAATAAAACAAAAATTTGGACAGTTGGAAAACTAATGAGTTTATACTATACATACCTATCACCTTTTAAGTAAGTAACTCAATGATTTACTTATAAGCATGTCCGTAAGTTTTGAAATGGTTGGCTAAGCAATTATACTAACACAATAACGTAGAAATACATTTTTTTACTTACATTAGTGAACATTAATTCAATAGGTAACAAGCTTACCAGATGAAAAACTATAAAAATTGCGTTAAAATGTAATTTATGTGATGGTAGGATTCTAAAGTAGATATCAAACTAAAGTTAATAGATTATAATCTCAAGAGTTTTCACTTTAAATAATGAACAAACTTATAGACCATTGTACAATAGTACGTTAGGCGTTATAAGTAGAGAATTAAAAATGCAGATGAGTTTTATCAAGGCCTATCTTTTTTAACTATGTTCTCCTATTTTAAAATAGGTCATACTGATCATGCTGTTATATGAAACGAAGCATCACAACATTTACCACATTACGTATTACAACAAAAATGCATACTCTGTCGCTCTCAATCGCAGAAATTTTTTTTTCAATAATTGCAAGCTGGAATGTTTTTGAACCATTCAATAATACAGCAGTACATGTAAAATTATGGTAATAGCGAGGCTGTTATTTTTAAAGATTTCTTTGCAACAATTATTAAACAATGTAAATACGTCCATGCTATACGAAAAAATAAGACAACATTTTTCAGTTTTCTTAACTGATTCCTTGCCACAAAGTTTTGGACTTAGGTTTATCGTCTAGTTTTTGTATTTCAATATACAGCATGATGCGAATAAAACCTTTACTTATTGAATTATTTTAATTGAATATTGTATAAAATTTCATCTACTTACTTACATTTTAATTTATTGACTTCATTTTATATTTAAAATGTTTTGGCTAAACAATGATACCAAGGTAGCTAATAAAAAAATATACGGAAAGTTACAAAAACAGACAATATACGCTATATATTGTATGATATGGCTTTTTTTAATTTAAAAAAATAAATGATACGCAATATCGTCGTTGCACTACACGCAGGCCTTACCCAACTTTGAATTGGTATTGACGGCTTTACAACATTACGCGGTAACACATTTTTATTCTGAATACTTATAAAAATAATTGTGACAATGTTTTAAACCATACCATAAGCTAATTAAAACCCCAAGTAGGGACAACTACATCTAAGAAATGACTTAGTATTCCCATGAAGACATAAAACGAGGCATTTTCGGACATTCAACTAAGTATTTGTAATTTTGTACCAGAAGATATTACGTAAAAAGAATAAAATTACTAGTACATAGGTACCTAATTAAACATTTTCCAACTTTAAAGTAATTTGTATACGTACGAAAGCTTTCAGATTTTGAATAAGAAAGCGACATCGTTTTATCTATATATATAAAAATGAAACCCGTTTCGCGTTGTCACGGCATCACGTGTGAACGGCTGAACCGATTTCGATAATTCTTTTTTTTAAATGTTTGTGGAAGTCCAAGGATGGTTCTTACGGAAAAAAATATTAAGAAAATCTCTACGCTAAGGCGGTACGAAGTTCGCCGGGTCAGCTAGTGTTTACATAAAAAGCAATATTTCTAAATATAGGCCAACCCCAAAATAAGCCACTGCTCAGAAAAAAATACCATATCATACAGAAAAGTAGTCAAGTGAATTTTATCGTTTATAAACCATCCACTGAATTGTGTACCACGAAAATTTATTCACTTATAATACAAAAGTCAATTTGATTTTGGAAAAAAAGCGATATTCATTTCGGCACGCAATACATTATTGTGAATATAGTGTATGAGAAAAACAGGATATTTTGTTTTCCATTTTATCACTTGCTACTCTCTACATAAAAATATTAGGTATCTTCAATCTTCGCAATTCTTCACTAGAAAATAATACAAAAATAAATACTATTATATTGGATTACCGCACATTACCTCAATAACTTAAACATTCGGATACTTTTGTTTTGAGCAGTGTTATTTTTCCTTATTAAACTCTGGTATCACATTGTATCCCTTAAAGCTAAGCAAATAAGACATAAAAGGTATATGCTATATAAAAATGTGATGTATCGGTTATTATCACTGATTTAGTTATTATATTTAACAGTATTTTCATTTTATATTGGGGTTATCGTTAAACATAGTTATTGGTAGTGGGTCAGCAAAAATTATGTTTAAGAAGTATACTAGATGATTATTTGGATTTGCTACCCTATCTATAAAAGCTTTATACATTAAACTATATCTAATAAGTACGTTAAATATTTCATAACGGAAATAAATTAACTTTTTAAAAGTTTTTTATTAACTCTGATTTTTATTGAATATGGTAATATAACTTAAAACATCTACTTAAAGTAAAAATACTCATTAATACTAAATATAAAAATAACGTGACAATTTAGGCCGATTAAAATTATTCTTTGAAAAGAAAGTGTTGCACATTTTTTATTTCATTACATATTGTGCTTTTTATATAAAACTTTAATATTTATATTTGATTTCATTTTATGGTAAAAATTTAGGTGATGTTGATGATTTATTATAAAAAAAAGAAAATACGTTTCTATGAAATAAATAATAAATTGGCTACTTTTTACAAAATTCAATATTGTCATTATCCATAATCTAAATATTTTATGGCCTGTACAAATGGATCTCTTAATACTATTTATTGTTTGTTCTAAACTTACTCCTACAATATACAACTGTACTTATGTAAACTTCATACCTACATTATAAAAGGAACAAAAATAAAAAAATAAGCAAACACTATGATTGCAGTTGACAGTTGTACTAACGACTAGCGATGCGAGTAAAAAAATTTTTTATGGATATTTTACATGTCATGCTCACTGTCCACTGGTTACATCCAGTTTCATCGATTGAACAAACGTGGGATATCGCATTTGTGCTCATCAATTTGCCCCATCAGCGAATAAAATCCTGTTACTCGTTAATAGGGGACTAATAAGGTTCTTTTTGTGGTCAAGTCGGTTAAACTACACTTAAAACTCATTCGTCGAAGTTTGACCCCGAACGATATTATATAAAAATCTAGATTCACCTTACAAAGGCGAAAAGTAATCAACAGGCATTGTGATTCAGTCAGATTTTGGTAAAATCTTTACTTATTGATACGTAATTTATGGTGCCTATTTTCAGAACGATTCCTTTACCTAATGAGCAGATATAAATGTTTAACTCGGTCATTTGGCAAAATTAATCACTTTTAGGAATCGGGCATTGCATCGAATGTACGATTGAATCCATAAAAGTTGCGTAAATATTTTAAATATACAAACGCATAGCTACAAAATGTAATTTCATGAACTAGTTTTATGTACATATTTACATGCTGCTTACTGTAATATTTGGTTAACAATGATACAAGACTGAATCACTCTCAGCCCTTTCTGTAACGAATTGTGCTTTGCTGTCCTTAACTCCTCTAAAACGACAGAGTCAGTTGATTTGTAAAAGTCTATTACGTTTTTAGGTTACAGAATCAACCCCAGTGGACTCACTTAACTTGATGTCTTTCGGAGATCACAAGGGTAACCACTTTAACAATATCACATAGTTTCACACCCGCTTCGTTACCGGTAGTCGCCAAACAACAGTTTGGCGAGATACGTCCATCAGCTACGCTCGTCTATATTTACTAAAATGTGGGTGTATAAGTGCTTCAGTGTGATTTCTACTAGTTGATACTCTAGGGTTGTTAATCCATCTTTCTGGAACACTTTGGTGGTCTGCGACAACAGTTGGTACCTGGAATTAATTACAGGAAAAATTAGGATAGGTTTACAAAATTTAAGTCTCACAGTAAGCTCACGATCAGTGTAAGTACGTGAGACGTGCCCGTGTAGTCATCGTCATAAGTTATTGATATGTGTATTGCTTTAACACTTGGTATTGATTGCCACTCATTCATCATAAAAGGTACTACGAGTGTGATTAAGTTTGTCATTTAAATAAAAACAAATGAAAACTCTAAACAAGTTGAGATTTTATTAACGAAGTACTAACTTAAAAAAAGTATACGAGTACTTGCCTCTTTGGATTGGGTGAAGATTTCTTATGATCTAGCATGGCGTACCGCGCGATGGACGTCTTATACCTCGCTATGTGGTAGTTCATTTTTCTCAACCTGCAAAAAGCAAACACAGTGCATAAGAATATTATTTTTGTTAACAAAAGATATCGAATTGGTTTGAAGTGATTTTTGTCACAAATTATGTTTGAAATTATAATTACCTATAAGACATGTCGTCATCCTCGCCTCCCCAACCCCAATATTTGTTGGAAAACCCGTTGACACTGGTGAACTGCTCCAGAGTCAGAGCTGATACTCCACCGAAGAGGTCTTCATATGGCAGCCTGGAAATAAAAACGATATGATTAATAATAATACTAGCTTTTGCCCGCGGCTTCACCCGCGTGAAATTTATTTTGTCACAGATCGTCATAAATTATAGCCTATAATATGTTATTCTGGGTTATAAACAATAATACTGTAAAGTTTCATCAAAATCCGTTCAGTAGTTTTTGCGTGAAAGAGTAACAAACATCCATACAAACTTTCGCATTTATAATATTAGTAGGATTATTAATCTCTCCATTGGACAGTGCGCCATAATCATCATCATTAAGTAGAAAGCCAACTCTCTCTAATTTTCCAAAAGCAAATGGAAGACTTGGCCTACCCTCTGCACGCCGTCTTGAGTGGGTGAGTAGGCCTGATTTTCCCTTGGACATCTTTTGACATCCACTGGTAAAGCAGGAATGATCCTATCCTCTTATTTAATTTATTTATTACATGTATTTAATCGTTACATCTTTGACAAATAGTGTTTTAAATCCTTCCGAGGTTTTCCAGACACTATTCTCTATACAAATAAAATAAACGTAATTGGTAACGTTTGAAAGAGCTCGTGAAGCACTTTCAGGATCAGTAACCAGTTTTTCGATATCTTGTATGTATAGTTTAGAAATAATCGAGTGAGATCACTTATCGTTTCCACCCTGTACCTATAGATGGTAGTTGGAAAAGCCTGTTCTGATACTTTTAAGTTCAAATATAGCATAATAGCATTTGTCTGTGACAACTCACTTGAAGTCCAGCTTGTCTACAGACACAGACATGTGCCTCGGCTGCCGCGGGCAGGTGTACATGTTCCTTAGATCCAGAGGCAGAAGGTCGATGTCGTGGAAGATGAAGCACTCCCAGCCTCCAGGCCGCTGTTTCTGGCTTTCCAGGAAGCCCACGTTCATCAGCTTGGCTCGGTTGAACTCGCTGTTGCCTGGTAAAGGGATAATTCGCTTAAATCAGAGACTTGATACGTCCTTTACAATAAGATAAGATAGGTAGGTACCCTACCTACTTGAACCAAAATCGCAAAAGTGCCGAAGACCAAAAAACAATTATAAAAAAAACCGTCTTGCTATGGACGTAGAAATAGAAGATACAAATCAAATCAATGAGTTAACTAAACACGCCCGTATGCTCGTCTACGCGCACGCATGCATTAAGTACCTATAATATTTTTTAATCCAATAAAAAAATATATAATCTGCTTTGTTCAGTTTCAAATAGAAAAAGGTCAATTTTCAATATCCGATGAAAGGCAGGGGAGAGTTCACCCGTATTCACAAACGATACTTGCCTAACGCCTATTTTGACTTTTGCTTTGATAGGTGTTGTCATCCAAATGTGCAATCCTAGAAATTTCTAGGATTTGTCTAAGGATTTGTTAGAAAATTTTTACAATTCTATCAGTTGTGTAAGAACTAGTACTGTACTGTAGGACTTTTTGTGAAAGATGACGTCGGCGAATTGTTCTCACTCTCCAGGAGCAGTGATATCAGTGATTTGGAGGACCTCATGATCATGTCGAGTTCGCGCACAGAGTTTCTGTAGGTACCTACGTGATTGATTAATTAATAATTAGAAGATCCCCAGGCATACACAGCCCACAGAATTGCTAAAATCAAGTGGCAGTAGGCGAGGCACATAGCTCGCAGAGTTGATGGTCGCTGGGGCAGAAAAGTTTTTAAGCGGTGACCACGGGCCGGAAGACGTAGTGTGAGCAAGCCCCCCATTATGAGGACCGCCGATCTGGTGAAGGTCGCGGGAAGTAATTATTTATTACTAGCGGCCGCCCGCGACTTCGTAGGTAAGCTCCCGTTTTACCCCCTTAGGGGTGGAGTTTCGTAAAATCCTTTCTTAGCGGATGCCTACGTCATCTACCTGCATGCCAAATTTCAGCCAGATCCGTCCAGTGGTTTGGGCTGTGCGTTGATAGTCTCTGTAATTGGTTCGCGTGTGACCCTGTGCATCAACGCGCACTGTGAAGCCTTGATCACACGTACCGAGTAAACGGGCGAGACAGTGCTCTCGGCCGAGTAGGTACTCGGTGTGTAAGAACATTGCGCCGAGTGCTCGGCCGAGCAGCGCTCGAGTATGTGACTCGCTCACCCAACTGTCTCGACCGAGTAAACATTTTACTGTCTCGCCAGTTTGATCGACGTGTGATCAAGGCTTGAGACCTCATAGTAATGTTTGTGAATACGGGCGAGAATTGAAGTAATAGGAATTTTTCTTACCAGCTTGTTCTACAATAAATATGCCGTAGTCGATCTGCTGCTTCATCAGGAATGGGTGCATATGGTTTAAAAATATGGCTAAATGCTGTTGGCGATCCCTGAAATTAAATAAAGACCGATAGTATCTTTCATAGTAATGAGCTCATAAAATGTATCTTACAAATGTCTGAGACGTGCTAAATTTAAAGAAAGCTGTATAAACAGCTTCGTTCGTTCGTTCCAGTCAAATGACGTCCACTGCTGGACAAAGGTCTCCCCCAAGGCTTTCCATAAGGGGGCGTCCATTAATTACGGGAGACAATTTTGGCTATTTTTTAACCCCTTACTCTGTTTGTTGTGGAAAAAAATTACGTGATATTTCTCGACACCTCCCTCTCCCCCCACGTGAGATTTAGTGAGGTTTTTCTGGACCCCCTTCCCCCCCTAAAAGTCTCACGTGATTAATGGACGCCCCCTAATTAACGGTCCTGCACTGCCCGCATCCAGGTTCTTCCCACCTTTACTAGATCGTCGGTCCACCTAGTAGGAGGCCTGTACCTCTAGTAGGAAAAACTTTCGAGTTCGTTTCGTTGCGTATTCAAAGTGTCATCGAAAAATTTTGTATGAAAAATTAAACAGCGCCCCCTAGGGCGGCTATAATATAGGGGGCGTTTTAGGAAAGTTTTTCGTACTAGAGGTACTGCCCACGCTACGTCTTCCAGTCCGTGAATAGTTTCGCACGATTTTCCTTCGCACGAATGTGCAATCGCATGTGTAATCGCATACTACTAGTTCAAAAAAGAGTCGATTCGCACGCGATTTTAATACTTTTAATACATCCGGGCGAAACGCCTATTAAAAAAAAAAATTGAAACCCCTTTCAATAATATTTTTGCGTGCGAAGGAAAATCGTGCGTAACTACTACTAACCCGAATAAACAAACAGCTCAGATTTTTCTTACCTGAAAGGGATGATAATTGCCACTTTGTCGCGGGCAGTACAGTTGGGCGGGGCGTACCGTCCGCCCCACTGGACTTCGGGATACTTCTTCTCCACCCAGTCCAGTTCTATTTCAGTTTTATTCACTGGTATTGGTCCTGAAAATTTTAAAAAGATTATGATTTGTAGTAGTTTAGTAAGTAACTTCGGAAATGTAGGGCCAACAAAAAACTACAAGCGTGGATTTTTCACGGCAGATGGGTGAGTACTATGTTTTGGATTATGAAATGAAAATTCACTCTGAAATGGATATAAATACCTATACGGAAGGTAACTGAGTCGACTTAACTACCTACTTACTAATAAAATAAAATAAATAAAATACTTCAGAGGGCCTAGTATGAGTTTACAACAAACGCGCTCACTAGTGAGCGCGTAAAAATGACATTAAGGCTGGTTTTAGAGTCAAGCTGACGCACGCTAACCGTCAGCGCTGACAGCCGAAATGTATGAAGCGTCGGCGCCGAGCGATCAGCGTCATTCAGGAACGTTCCCTTCAATTACATACATATTGATCTGTCAGCGCCGACGATCAGCGAGCGGTCAGCGCGATTCTAAAACCCGCCTAAATGTATGACGGATTGTACAGCGCCCCTAGCGGAAACGTTCAAGAACTAAAATTTTCATACATTTTTTAACGCGCTCACTAGTGAGGACGTTTGATTTAAACTCACACTCAGCCACAGCAGGTGCGTGGTAGGTAGGAATATGGGAGTAGCGGCAATGTGGAAGTTCTTGACTAGCTGAAATATGCCCACTAAAACCTTCCCACAGATCGCATGCGATCTATTAAAGGTTATCTTTTAAAATACTTACCAAAGTCTGACGGTACAGTATCATCACAGAGCGGCAGGAAGGTCTCATTCTTCTTCAGGTCGAGGTTTTCGGTAGTCGCGTCATTTCTGATGCCTTCCATAATTTTGTTGATCAGCACGGAAGTGACATTTTCTGGGTCTGCTGGCCGCGTCATATTTACTGCGGTTGTGTTTCTGGAGGTAGTAGAGTTCTTAAACTCGTTCTGGGGCTGGACGGGTGTCGTCGGTGGTTTTTTAGGCCAGGCTGGTGGTAGTTTGTCGTCAACCCTGAAATAAAACAGATACTATCCATCAATATTTCTTGTAAGTTTTCTCGTGGTTGTGCCTGAAGTAGGTCATTAGCGGGGAGGTGGTCACCTAACTAGATTATCTTTACGAGTCTCCAAAATTTTTTTGGCTAAACGTAGGCTTTGTAGCGTTGTACAACGGCTACTTAGTAAAGGTCTAGAAGCTCAAGCCTCAGCTAGAAAGCCGGCATCATCAAGTTTTGCTCACTTTGTGACTAGACGGGGCAGTACCTTATATGCTTGCAGAATTCGGTGACAAGGCTGCAAAAAATATCGTTCTACGTACAGGGGCTGGTAGAGATTGGTCATCAGCGGTGAGATGGGCACTTAACTACATATTGTAGTCCTACATATTTACCATTACAACGTCGCTCCTAAACTTACTTGAGCGTAGACTGAGTAGCGTTGTACATTAGCTTGGTTAGTTTGGGACTAGATGGCGCAGTGTGAATATGCCCAAGGGTAATGCATGTTACCTGAATTATGACGATCTTCCTATGAGAGCTTCCTCCAGTGTCATCATTGTCAGTGGACAGTGGATAGGTCAGGGAGACGGGCATCATCTTTGTCTAGTACCCAAAGTACTTTGCTCGAAACTCTACTTACTTGAGCGTAGGCTGCGTGGCGTTGTACAGCGGCTGGTAGAGGTACGTCCTGAGCGGGGAGGCGTCCAGGATGGAGCCGAAGAGGTACTCCACCGCAGCCAGCGCCAGCACCAGCAGCAGCAGCAGGCGGAGAGCGCGCGCCGCCCGCCCGCCCCCGCCCCCGTTCCCTCGCCCGCACAAGCTTGGTTAGTTTGGGACTATAGTCTGGTCGCCGAGCATGCAGAATTTTGTCCAATGACCCCAAGCTACCCATCCTTATTGCTCGCGCGTAATTATATTGCTGTCGCGACTGTGCGACGGGCGCCCGCAGTGAGTGTGCGAGCGCAACAGCAACATAATTACGCGTGAGCGATAAGGATGGGTAGCTTGGGGTCATTGGACAAAATTCTGCGTGCTCGGAGACCGGGCTTTAGATGGCGCAGTGTGAATATGCCCAAGGGTAATGCATGTACCTGAATTATGAAGAACTTTCCATGAGAGCTTCATCCAGTGTCATCAGTTGTCCTCAGTGGCCAATGTATAGATCATCTTTGTCTGGTACCCAAAAAACTTTGCTCGAAAGTCTACTTACTTGAGCGTAGGCTGCGTGGCGTTGTACAGCGGCTGGTAGAGGTACGTCCTGAGCGGGGAGGCGTCCAGGATGGAGCCGAAGAGGTACTCCACCGCAGCCAGCGCCAGCACCAGCAGCAGCAGCAGGCGGAGAGCGCGCGCCGCCCGCCCGCCCCCGCCGTCGTTCCCTCGCCCACCCAAGCACAAGCTTGGTTAGTTTCGGACTATAGTCTGGTCGCCGAGCACGCAGAATTTTGTCCAATGACCCCAAGCTACCCATCCATATCGCTCGCGCGTAATTATGTTGCTGTTGCGCTCGCACACTCACTGCGGGCGCCCGTCGCACAGTCGCGACAGCAATCTCGGAGACCGGGCTTTAGATGGCGCAGTGTGAATATGCCCAAGGGCAGCATGTTACCTGAATTATCCTGATCTTTCTATGACAGCTTCCTCCAGTGTCATCAGTGGACAATGGTCGGGGAGACGGGCGACATCTTTGTATAGTACCCAACCAAAGTGCTTTGCGCGAAAGTCCACTTACTTGAGCGTAGGCTGCGTGGCGTTGTACAGCGGCTCGTAGAGGCAGGTCCTAATAGGGAGACAGGCACTTAACCACATGTAGTCCTATAGATTTATCACTACAACGACACTCCTAAGATACTTACTTGAGGGTAGGCTGCGTGGCGTTGTACAGCGGCTGGTAGAGACATAGGTCCTCATCAAGGAGATTGGCGCTAGGTAGGTACCTTAGTCCCTATAGATTTATCATTAGACAAAGTTTTTCCCAAATACTTACTTGAGCGTAGGCTGCGTGGCGTTGTACAGCGGCTGGTAGAGGTAGGTCCTGAGCGGGGAGGCGTCCAGGATGGAGCCGAAGAGGTACTCCACCGCAGCCAGCGCCAGCACCAGCAGCAGCAGCAGGCGGAGAGCGCGCGCCGCCCGCCCGCCCCCGCCCCCGTTCCCTCGCCCGCCCAAGCACAAGCTTGGTTAGTTTGGGACTATAGTCTGGTCGCCGAGCATGCAGAATTTTGTCCAATGACCCCAAGCTACCCATCCTTAACGGTCGCGCGTAATTATGTTGCTGTTGCGCTCGCACACTCACTGCGGGCGCCCGTCGCACAGTCGCGACAGCAATCTCGGAGATCGGGCTTTAGATGGCGCAGTGTGAATATGCCCAAGGGAAGCATGTTACTTGAATTATGATGATCTTTCTATGACAGCTTCCTCCAGTGTCATCAGTGGACAATGGTCGGGGAGACGGGCGACATCTTTGTATAGTACCCAAAGTGCTTTGCGCGAAAGTCCACTTACTTGATTGTAGGCTGCGTGGCGTTGTACAGCGGCTGGTAGAGGTACGTCCTGAGCGGGGAGGCGTCCAGGATGGAGCCGAAGAGGTACTCCACCGCAGCCAGCGCCAGCACCAGCAGCAGCAGCAGGCGGAGAGCGCGCGCCGCCCGCCCGCCCCCGCCCTCGTTCCCTCGCCCGCCCAAGCACAAGCTTGGTTAGTTTGGGCCTATATTCTGGTCACCGAGCATGCAGAATTTTGTCCAATGACCCCAAGCTAGCCATCCTTATCGCTCGCGCGTATTTATATTGCTGTCGCAACTGTGCGACGGGCGCCCGCAGTGAGTGTGCGAGCGCAACAGCAACATAATTACGTGCGAGCGATAAGGATGGGTAGCTTGGGGTCATTGGACAAAATTCTACGTGCTCGGAGACCGGGCTTTAGATGGCGCAGTGTGAATATGCCCAAGGGTAATGCATGTTACCTGAATTATGACGATCTTTCTATGAGAGCTTCATCCAGTGTCATCAGTTGTCATCAGAGGATCTTTGTCTAGTACCCAAGTACTTTGCTCGAAAGTCTACTTACTTGAGCGTAGGCTGAGTGGCGTTGTACAGCGGCTGGTAGAGGTACGTCCTGAGCGGGGAGGCGTCCAGGATGGAGCCGAAGAGGTACTCCACCGCAGCCAGCGCCAGCACCAGCAGCAGCAGCAGGCGGAGAGCGCGCGCCGCCCGCCCGCCCCCGCCCCCGTTCCCGCGCCCGCCCAAGCACAAGCTCGGTTAGTTTGGGCCTATAGTCTGGTCGCCGAGCACGTAGAATTTTGTCCAATGACCCCAAGCTACCCATCTTTATCGCTCGCGCGTAATTATATTGCTGTCGCGACTGTGCGACGAGCGCCCGCAGTGAGTGTGCGAGCGCAACAGCAACATAATTACGCGCGAGAGATAAGGATGGGTAGCTTGGGGTCATTGGACAAAATTTTGCGTGCTCGGAGACCGGGCTTTAGATGGCGCAGTGTGAAAATGCCCAAGATATTGTGTATGTTACCTGATAAATTAGGGCGATATTTCTATGAGAGCTTCATCCAGTGTCATCAGTTGTCCTCAGTGGCCAATGTATAGATCATCTCATCTAGTACCCAAAGAACTTTGCTCGAAAGTCTACTTACTTGAGCGTAGGCTGCGTGGCGCTGTACAGCGGCTGGTAGAGGTACGTCCTGAGCGGGGAGGCGTCCAGGATGGAGCCGAAGAGGTACTCCACCGCAGCCAGCGCCAGCACCAGCAGCAGCAGCAGCAGGCGGAGAGCGCGCCCGCCCAAGCACAAGCTTGGTTAGTTTGGGACTATAGTCTGGACGCCGAGCATGCAGAATTTTGTCCAATGACCCCAAGCTACCCATCCTTATCACTCGCGCGTAATTATATTGCTGTCGCGACTGTGCGACGGGCGCCCGCAGTGAGTGTGCGAGCGCAACAGCAACATAATTACGCGCGAGCGATAAGGATGGGTAGCTTGGGGTCATTGGACAAAATTCTACGTGCTCGGAGACCGGGCTTTAGATGGCGCAGTGTGAATATGCCCAAGGGTAATGCATGTTACCTAATTATGACGATCTTTCTATGAGAGCTTCATCCAGTGTCATCAGTTGTCATCAGAGGATCTTTGTCTAGTACCCAAGTACTTTGCTCGAAAGTCTACTTACTTGAGCGTAGGCTGCGTGGCGTTGTACAGCGGCTGGTAGAGGTACGTCCTGAGCGGGGAGGCGTCCAGGATGGAGCCGAAGAGGTACTCCACCGCAGCCAGCGCCAGCACCAGCAGCAGCAGCAGGCGGAGAGCGCGCGCCGCCCGCCCGCCCCCGCCCCCGTTTCCGCTCCCGCCCGCGCCCATCAACGCATGCGCTGCGGGACTCGCGCGCACACCTGGAACAGTTATAATATCATTTACTTTTTTTACCCATTTACTTTAGACGATTGTCACACTGCACCGCGCTCCACGTGATTAGGTACATATAAAAATAGCCACGCGCAGACGCGTTGTCAGTGTGTTGTGCCGCGCGTGTTTTCTATACAAACTGAGGTACTTGCATACAATGATTAAATCTGTCGTCCCGCGTACCGCGGCGGAGCGCGGTGCAGTGTGATAATTGCCTTACTCAATTTTGCGACCTTTGTCGTTTTTAAATTACTTATCATTTTATCTGTTTTTTTTTTATCTTTTCTATAGGAAATTAATATGAGAAATAAAAATATAACATGCATGCATAAATATCAGTCATCGTTTTTGGTTTTGAATAATCACAAAGTGTCTAGCGCCCGTATTCACAAACGATGCTTGCTTAAGTGAAGCAGCAAATCGAACGCACAGCGTTGAATAGAGCTCAGTGATTGGTTCGTATGTCACCTTGTGCGTTCACGCGCACTGTGAGACCTCATAGTAATGTTTGTGAATACGGGCGTAGGATACGACCTATAGAATCTCGCGATGTCTCCTAACAGGTTAAAACAAAAACGCATCATTCAAAACTTCCAATTATTAAAAATACCATTTCCATGTGGAGTTCCACATCTCGAAGAAAACAAAGCAGCAGGCATCTTACTAACTAATAATAATACAAAAATATTTGCTTATACTTTTTCCTTCACTTGAGTTTTCCTGACGTACCAACTTCAAAGTCTACACGTACCCATGTAATGTACGTTTCCAGTTTTCCACCCAGTGAACTATGAAAGATGTTCCTCAATTGCGAGGCAATGCTTGTTGGTTGGCCAGCAGTCTCTGGATCGTATGTACCATAGTGTGTACTTATTGCGTTTCTTTCTCTTATTTACATTTTAATGTGAATTAGACATGTTCTATCTATACTAATATTATAAATGCGAAAGTAACTGTATGTCTGTCTGTCTCACTTTCACGCTTAAACCACTGAACCGATTTTGATGAAATTTGGTATAGAGATAGTTTGAGTCCCGGGAAAGGACATAGGATAGTTTTTATCCCCGTTTTTGAAATAGGGACGCGCGCGATAAAGTTTTTCTGTGACAGACAAAATTCCATGCGGGCGAAGCCGTGGGCGGAAAGCTAGTCTATATCTATACTAATATTATAAATGCGAAAGTAACTCTCGTCTGTCGGTCTGTCTGTCTGTCTCGCTTTAACGCCTAAACCACTGAACCGATTTTAATGAAATTTCGCATAGAGATAGTTTGAATCCAGGGACGCGCGCGATAGTTTTTCTGTGACGACAAAATTCCACGCGGGCGAAGCCGCGGGCGGAAAGCTAGTATTTTATAAGGGAACATTTAAAATTATTAAAATAGCACATACTTATCACAACCACATAGGATGCTGCTATGTTTAGCTTAACTTCCTGTCATCTGTACCCACTCTATTACGTAGTGTCTACGCCATTGTCTGGCGCCATCAGACGCGTTGCGTCATCGGGCCTAAAAATAGCTGTTTTCAGGTGCTACATATGGTATTTGTGTGTATCTAAGCATATTGCGAACCTCCAGTTGAAGTTTTATGTACGCAAAACAAAACTGCTAAGTAAAGTAATATACTTTACTCCCACGCAGTTTATTCAATAATTTAGGCGGGAGGTCCTAAAATACAATAAGCTTTTTATATGCCCACCCAAGACATGACGGCTGCCGGTTATATGCCAATTTTATAGGTATTTCCTTTACGTGTTTGGATAGGTACCTAAGAAGTTTATTCTGTCCCAGATTTACGTACCAATACCCTGTTATTTGAAAAAGTAACGAGCAACGACGATTTCAAAATTCATACGAACGCAAACAATCGTAAAAACATATCCCATTGCTTTTGTGTGGAAAGCAAACAAATTAATTATGTACGGAGAGTTTGTAAAATGTGGTTTTCGTTTCGTTTGACTGTTTATTTCTCTCGTAAATGTTGTGGTCAGTTTATTCGGCTTCGTTACGACGATTGAAAGCATTATTGTGACTTGTTTGAAGTTTAATTAAGCACTAAACAAGTAGGTTAGTGGAAAATTTGCCACATTTGTCTTTTAAGATACACCACTATTAAACAAACATTTTCTCAGCTATACAATTTTTTTTTAGCAGTATTTACAGTTTACAGCACATCAGATTATTCCTTTTATCATTTTCCAAAATCTCACTTAATATTAGGTAGGTACTACTGCGTCGTGCTTAGGTTCACATACCATTGTTTGCAAAGCAGTCTACACACAGATGCCGCCGAATTGACGCCATGTTAATTTGAAAAATGCCCTACTTTATGCTCCAACGATGTCACCGAATGACCCAAGCCACTAGCTGCCGACATGATGGCGACACCGATGTGCAACCGCCTTATAATGGACGCCATGTTTATTGTCTCGTCAATATTAAAGTCTTTATTGGTTAGAAAGTTAAGACTTTCCTTACTATGAAAGGATATACTAATAAAGTTTTTCAGCAGACATGTTAACACGTCCCACGACGTGGAAAAGTTGTTATCCGTTCTTTTATTTTGTAAACCGTGTCGATATTAATTATGTCTTCTTTTTTGTACTGATTCATTAACAAGAATTTCGAATTGGCACGAATCCCGATCACCTATTTTCTAATGATACTTAATAATAAAACATTAAAAAATTATTAAAGTTACGAACCTTGGGCTGAGGAGAGGATAAGGAAGGAGCCCGGTGGAAATGTCCCATTCTCTTCACTGGCCGCTGGTAGACCGGCTCGCCTTTGAGTTCATGATCTGTAACAAACAAATAATAAATTAATAAACTAGGCGAACTTAAACGAACTCGCACAGGCCTTAAGTGGAGAAGGTGGACTACAGTACTATCGGGGACTCGGACGCCTTGACACCTTAAGGGCCTAAATTGTTTGCACACACACGCTCGATTAAGCTACGCCCCCATTCATTCATGTTTCGGGTCTAAGCACCGTCGGCGCACCACTGTAGATGTTTGCCCTTGCAAACCAAGCTCTATGTAAAGCGTATAGGATTGAGTATTGCTTAGCTTACCCGCATCCGTAGCGCTCGTTTGGCAACGTCGCATTTTAGTAAATTTGAAACCCAATAAAGAATCGCTACAAAATATTATATGGGGCTTCGTGTAAAAATTGAACTAGCGATTGCCCGCTCGGGTCACAAAATTGCTATCGCACGAGCCGAGGCAACTGTGCAATTTCCTGAGAAAAAAGTAGCCCTTTCTATAATTATTGTTGATATTAAGATTGTAAATCTCATGATATAAATTTAGCTAGTTAAGGCGAGAAATGCAAAATCATACAGTCACTTTCGAATTTTACTTGTTTAATAGGTATTTAATTTATTCGGAACTTATAATTTATAAACTATATGTTATCGATAGTGTCCGACCGAATATGGATTTTCAGCCGAAAACGGAAACGAAAACGAAGCTTCGGCTGCAGTCTCATTTTCGGCCGAAAACGAAAACGAAAACGAAAATGACCTTCAACTCTCAAATTTCAATCTGAAATTATGTAAAAACTTTGAAAACCGTTAATGTTTTGACCAAAAACATAATGATGTTTGACAGTTGTTTTTGATAAGGATTGATTAAAGAAAACCGGCATTAAAACACAAAAAATTGAATTATGAATTCTTAGTAGAATATTATTTCCGGTGTATATTGAAATATTGGGAAGTGAAGAAGAAATAAAGGGTGCAGTGGGAATTTTGCAACTTCAAAAATGATTCATACAAATAAATTAAAGATTTTTTATTATTTATTACTAATGCAAACTGGAGTTTAACAATGCGGATTTATTTTTTTATAGGCAATATCTTTTAAATGATGCCCGTTTTACTATAGGCACTCTCACAGCCTTACTTTCGCAACTATGCGAGAGCAAATCGCGCTAATAATTTTCCTGCAACTTCACGGCGGATATTTTCTTACAGAACCTGAATTATTTAAGGATTGTTTTGCTGTAAACTTTTGACTTGAGATATCCCCACAAGAAAAAGTCGCATGGTGTGAGATCTGATGACCGAGGCGGCTAGAAAAAATAGTCCTCAGTGTCTCCATCGAGGTACTCTCCGTGTGTGGTGAGACACCTTCTTGCTGTGCAGCAAGACACATCGACCAGTGACTCATGGCGTATTTCAAATCCGCATTAGACTCTATTTTGAAACAATTAAACTTAATGAAAACTCTTTGGTTTTATTTGTATTCAATTTTGAACTTGGAAAATTTTCGCTGGACACCCTTTACAATGTAACCTCACTTCAAAACTTCAAAAGAGTGTGACAATACCGCGTCCGTTCAAGTCTGATTGGAACCATGAGTGCATCAGATTCACTCCGATAAACGTCACCATCTTATTCACGTATTTCTGATATTCGGTTTGGCCGAAGCTTCGGCTGGTTTTTGGCCGAAAACGAAAATATGGCCGAATGTCCATTTTTTGGCCGAAAATGGCCGAAAACGAAAACGAAAACGAATATTCGGTCGGTCACTAGTTATCGAATTAATTAGGAAATAGTTAAGGAATATTTGTGGCTTAAAAACAATTATTGTAAGATCTGGCTACATAATAACTTTCTTAAATCCTTGAATGTAAATAAAGGTTTCTATTTATTTTTAATACATTAGCAACTTTTTTTTTCCGTTTAAAAGAAACACTTATCTACGTTATTACAATTTAATACAATTATTGTAACTAGGTAGCAATGATCCAGGTAATTGGTTATTATAAATATTATAATATTAAGTTAGTTTTATTTCAAATTAATTTTTTTATTGCACATTAAGTGTCTTTACACAAGGTTTTAAATCAATAAAAATTAAACTTCTAACTAAATAATACTTAAACAGTTAACAATGTATAGATAGATAAGTTTGTAATTAAATATAAGAATTAAGAATTATTTTGAAAGGCCATGATTCAGTCATCGCGCGGAGGTCAATAAAAAGGCAATCAAACAGTCCAATTACTAGCACGGGTCAACACAAAACAAAATCAATCGGTTAGGGATCACAAAACTTCACAAAAAACAAAGGAGAGAATATGTCGACAGTTCGCCAAAGCAAAAAGCAGACAGACCTCGTATAAAAATACAATATTAAAAAAATACATATTATCTATTTGTTTGTAACCAAATCTATTATTAAAATTCTAAAGCTGAGTTGCACCATCTTACTTTAACTTTGACAAACGTCAAAAATCTGTTAAACTCCATACAAAAAGCACCGGTTACCGTTATAGCTACGGTCAAAGTTAGGTGGTGCAACTCAGCCTAAAACTAAGAAAGATTGAAGAAAAAGAAACATTTCGTTTTAAACCTTAATCGTATGACAATAAAGTGCACAATGGTATTTCGTATTGCAACCTAAGCCCTGATTGTCTCTTATTGGTCGTAGTAAAAATATAGTAAAATGCGTAACCAATTAGAGACGGGGTGAGCACGTGACCGGAGCGATGCGCTTACGCTAAAATTTCTACAAAGTGGTCAGGCGGAAGAGTCCCCGATTACAATCGACTGAAAAGACAAGGCATTCCCAGTCTCGCCCAAAGATTTGTAGACTGAGCCAGGAAGAGAGTTTGCTGGAAAAAGATCAGCAATTGATTGGCTCTCGAAGACAACATAAAACTTAGGACATGTAGCTCCAGCCAAACAATTGGCTTATTGTTTTCGAACAGATTGCCATAGGGCAGAAAATACATTAAAAAAAACGACAGATTATTCGACTATCACGTGAAACTCTTAAGTGGTCGCATGAAACCGCTGTAACAATTGATTCCTATTGTGTCTCGATTCGCTGGTACTTGAAGGATTACACAAGATTTTGAACAAAAATCGGCTCTTAAAGCATTAAACGCCGCCGTAGTGACCGACCCAAATAATTATTAGATTTTTTACTGTGTCTAATTTCTTGGCAGGTAAATGCTTAAATATACACACGTCATTCAATAACTTTTGTATTTTAATCTATTTGATAGAGTAGGTTCAAACAAATAATATATTTTAGTTAACTGTTAACCACATTCGAAAATGTAACTGAATTAACGGACACTTAACCGCTAACAATTTAAATATTGGTCAGTTTTCACTAACGAGTTAATTCTAGTCGGTCATTATACAACATTCTCGATAAGATTAAACGTTCAACGATAAAATACAAAAAATCCTTTTGAGCTCAGTAATACTTATCTAAAGTTAAATATTTAACTTAAGCGTAATTTTAATAAACGATTACGAGAACCTACGAGTGAATTTCTCTTCAATATTTATTTCGAAATTAAAATTTTGAAAGATCGTAACACATCGTAATCGTCTTTAATTTCAATTATTTTATAATTGAAATTAAAGACGATTACGATGTGATTAAATATCGATTCGTTTTAAAATATTTTTCTGGGGAAATTTATGGATATGAAGTAGATTAATGAAGATTAAACACAGATAAATTTCTTCAATACAAATAACGGCGTAGTCCTTTCAAGGCAGCCAGGTAAAAGGCCCTATTTTCGGCAAATAGATTATTTACGAGCGCCAAATAAGCACAAAACGTGCCTACTTTGTATGTACTCTATTCACTTTGAAAAATGTTAGACCATTTCGTACATTCCAAGACAAAATACACGCCGTGTATCGTGTACAGTCTGCTCCAATAAATAGAGTCTCTATTTATGAGATTTGAAAATATGCTGTCAACATTAATTTAATTGACTTTTACAATGATATTGCAAATCAAATTCTTTATTATACTATCTAACCTCAAGAATTGATTTAAACTACGGAATAAATAAAGCAACATTTTGCTGACCAACTACGTAATGTTTCCGAGGACAATTTTTTGAGCGTCAACACGAAACATGTCACGGGTCCCATGTCACTGAAGGACAGTTCGGAGCAGTTTGGTAGCGTTGCTGCAACACGTAGAAACTGAGTAGCACGGGACATCTGTCCCATGTGTATCCGGGACATACATGTGAATAGAAAAGTTATCGAGTGGCGACAACGGGCCGGAATTGCCGGAAAACGTATGGGCAGGACCCCCACTAGGTGGACCAACGATCTGGTGAAGGTCGCGGGATGAACCTGATGCGGGCAGCGCAGGACCGGTCATTATGGAAATCCTCAGGGGAGGCCTTTGTCCAGCAGTGGACGTCATTTGGCTGAAAAGACCGAACGTATTCGGGGCATTAGCCGTACCTACTTGTCTGTTATTTCTGATGCGGACTGTACAGGTCGTGTATCGTGTAAGAACCATACAGCATGGGTCCCACGTGGGTGTTTTGGGTGATATCGTCGATTTTTTATCATAACGATATGAGGAACAACTTGCGGAATTGCTGTACTTCCTCGTCGTTTATGGATGTAGTTTGTACAGTTATTTTTTGCGACGCTTTCAGGGCTTTTATATTTTATTATCTAAGTAACATAAAACATCCTTTAATCATACAGGAAAATAAATTATGCATTTCTATTCTACCATTTCTTTCTCTCTTTCTACATATTTTCATACAAAAATGCTAACGATATTTTATAATAAACAAATGAGATACTAACGTTAGACAGTCGACAATCTGTTTGATATTTCCCTTATAATATTTACAAGTTGCTCGTTTCTATTGGCATTGACCGTTATTGGAAAGAATTTTCCTCAATCGCTTACCACTCACCAAAGCGTTTGCGAAGCGAAAGCGAAATGTTGTCAAAGCCAACTAAAGTCAAAGTCAAAGTCAAAATTTCTTTATTTGTTTAGACTAATAAATAGT